GGCAAACTGACGGTAATTTTGATTTGACACTTGTTTTTGTGTTTTTGAGGGGCGTTTGGGAGAAATCGTTTTTATGAATATTTTGTGATATCTCATATACCTTTGTTTGCTGAAAGAAGAACTCCTGGCTCCGGAATAACACCTTATTTGGCCCTTCATTCAGCATGATGCCGTCCCTCCAGCTCGATTGACATGTGCTTTACGGCGCGTGCGAGATGGCGGGAGTGGATGGGGTCAATTGAAACGCTTCTCTGAGGGTCAGTTGAAACAGGGCCACAGGCCGTTTCAATGGACCCCGGTGACCTTTGCATTGGTTATTGTTCAGGGGCTGTTAACATTAAAGGAAACAGTCCACCTTTGAAATGAGCTTTTAAACTGAAATAGTAGTTTAATAGAGCTCAATTTTTGACCCCTTTTTCTCCAGCCTTTTGCTTGAAAGCACACTATAGCCTGAGATATTTCTCATTTTCCTCATCCGCCCATTTTACCATAGTCTTTGTACTTTATGTCACCTATTATGAGGAACTTTGCACTTTTAGCTTCCCGACGACCTATTGAATGTAGCATTTGGAAAAGTAAACCGGACAAAATATCTCCTTAAGAAAGTGGCCTTAACCCGCGCGGGGCTGGGGGGGGTAAATTTTACCCCCCTCGCGAATATTTGCGATATCTCAAAAACGGCGGCGCGCAGCGCCGCCAAACTTTCAGTACCTTTTTTTACATCAATTTGACACGTTCCCTGAAAATTTGAGCGAAATCCGTCGGAAAATTTTTGAGAAATTGACGTTTTAGTGACGTCATGTTCGCCATTTTCGCCTCAAAAACGGCAAAAGTTCAAACGCCGCTAACATCTTCATTTTTAAAGGAATCAAGACGTAACAAAAAAGGTTATACGTAATTTTACTTTGTCTATCAAATGGCGATCTCGGTTTTTTGAAAATTTTGGATTTTGGCCTAAAATTTTTCAAAAAACTGATTTTTTTGGGAAAATCATTATAAAATCCAAAATTTTGAGTCTATCGAAAAAACCGGAATATATGTCAGAGAAGTGGTCTATGTGCACCTACATACCAAATTTTAGAAGAATCGGTTCAAAAATGTGGGAGTTATTCAAAATTTTATGACGTCACGACACACAATTTTTTTTAAAAAATGACTTTTTTGGAAGTTCTAGACCTCGTATGGAAACAAAAATAGCACCATTCGATTTGCCGTGAAAAACTGCATCAGATAGACACCTTTTTAGGCCTTAACAACCAACTTCAAAATTTGACCTCACTTGACCTGACCTTGACCTGACCTCGACCTGAAATTCATCCAGAGGTGTTCCATATCACTTATTGAGTGTGCCTATTGAATTCTATGAATAAAATGACCCATAAAACATGTGTCGCACATGCCCTTTTCTATATTTTGTTTTTTGGTGACCTGACCTGACCTGACCTGACCTTGACCTTGACCTCTGAATGATATTGTATGCAGCGAATATTGTCTTGGTAGCCTAAGAACACGTTTTGGGCGATCAGTCTCAGTCCATGACTCCATTCTTCGGCAACTACGGTGCAAGGCCGATACTGTAGAAACTTGCAATTTGTACCCTTGACCTGACCTTGACCTTGACCTCAAACTTTAAATTAAGTACATGTTTTTAGTAGTTCGTGATGAGAGCTTTCGATTGGCGTTTGAATTTTCCAAATCGGACCATTAGTTCGGGAGATAACAGGGGGGGTAAAATTTACCCCCCCCCCCCAGCCCCGCGCGTTCGGCGGTTCGGCTGGAGACCCCAGCCCCGCGCGGGTTAAAGAGGAAAACATCCCATTGTTAGGGATAGGTGCAATTGACCCCATGGGCTGGTTCAATTGACCCTCGCATCGGGGTCATTTGAAACGGGCGTAGAGCTGTTTTATAAGCATGCGTTTGGCAGCAAAATATGTTTGAAACATAATTTTACATATCTTAAAATAAAGCCAAAAGAGCATATTTTTTCATGGCATTGTGCATTTTTCGATATGACAACTAGATCTCGCTGTGCATGTCAATATATAAAAAGTGGTTCAACTGGCCCCGCTCTCCCCTAAAAGTCTAATACCTATCTTGAAAACCGGTGAATATTTTTCGATGAAATTTGGTAGATATTCGTTTTTGCTCTTTCTGAACCGAGCGACATCACTTTCATGCCAATTCATTAACTTTTTTGAAGGTGGGAGGGTCCCTTTAACTTTTTACCAGGCATGCGTTAGGCTTACCATGGATCTCCTGAGCACCAGCGAACAGTAAAGAGACGAAGAAATCTCAACTCCCGTTTTAACGTGATGCTCTGCAGCAATTTAGTATTTAGATTATCATTATTTTTACTCTAGCAATCGCGTATAATTTCGATACTCGGCTCATAAGCCTGACCAGTGCACAGTGGGGATTTTTCCGATCTAGCACGTCTTAATTCGTAGAGGGCAAACCATAGGTAGTATTGTAGCCAGATTGTTCACAGATGTTGGCTGGTGTGTTCTGGTGAGAATGTTTACCTGTAAATGTGCATAATCAACATAGTTTAGGGGGTTCAATTGGACCCCTGTCTCAGCCGTTTGGCCCCTGATCAAGCTAGAGCTTCGCGGAAAAATCAAGCGTGCTGCCTATGACGAGATGAGGCCGAATGTATCCAATTTCAAAGTCCAAGGTCATTAGTTGACTTTCCAAGTCAGTTTAATGACCCAACTAAAGTTGGGAAATCGAGGCCTCTTGAAACTTCGTAAAGTTCGGGTGTGACGGGGTATTTTGGGGTGCTGATCACGAATTTCATGTTAGTTTTGATCACAGACGATGTCTTTATGCATTAATGCCAGGTCGGGTCAGGTCAGGTCAGATCAACCAGTAGGCGTCCTGCCGGCCATCCATAGTAAGAGTCACCTACCACTGACAGCTTCGTAACATGGTACGATGGCACCAGAACTACTTCGTAAATATTCAAATGGTTGCTTAATTCGAAATCAGCACCAAAAACTACCCTAGAAACAAGTAAAACTCGAAAAAGTGAATCAAGGTCATCAAAGGTCAATGACCTTGACTTGACCTTCACGTGACCTTGACACCCACCATAATGCATGGCACCAACATCATTTCACATATTTAAACGTTTAAAACCACAAAAAGACTGGAAACCGCCGATAATGTGAGCTGGCATACGCCGAATCGCGATTCCGGCCAAACATGGTCTCGAGGAATATGCCACAGGTCAAAGGTCAGTTGGGTCAGAGTCATGAAATTTTTAGATTAGATGTACAATTGATGATCTCGAGGGCACCGAAAGTTTTGTCGCTATCGGCCGCTTTTTGCGCGAGCAATTTGCGGAAAACCATGGGGTTTTATCCAACCACTTCCCCCTCCCCCTCCCCACAAATGCGAGGGTTAATAAGGTTACGGTATGTATAATTTACGCTTGCCATCCTATTCCTAATGAATGTGTCTCAGAAAATATGCATCATATAACTCACGAGGTAAAATTATTCGCCTATGTCCGGAGCATACCTATATCGTGCTGTTTGCCCTAACGCTCCTAGAGTGGGGTATTAGATACTCTAATGTGAATATTCCGTGTTCAGGCAAGTTCCGGCAGCCAAACTAGGCGTTGTCTTGTGCAGGAGAAAGTGGCGAATTCGATAGGATATGTTTTTGGAGTGGAAAAGTGTGGAAAACATTGTTGATTTCCCATAACAATTTATTTAGAATACCATTCCTTCAATATGGTGTCTGTTGTTTTTGTAAATGGCATTTTTGTGACCTTAGTAAGGTTGGGCATGCTTTCTGTTTGCCATTCCATTCCTAATAAAGGTGCCTTTCAGACGATATACAACTTTAAGACCTCGCAAGAATAAAACCAACAGGACAGGACAATGACATTGAGCTATACTTTCGGGCCTTACTGAGCCCATTGAGTAATCACGCATGAGTGTGAACTTTTGGCGCATTTTCCTAGTCTTGCTGTGGACATACAGATAAAACAATGCCATGCTATATGAAACAATCAGACATCTCTTAGCCCCACTGACACAAAAAAAACAAAAATCCAAAAAAGATTTTTGGAATTAAGACGCGCTAGATCGGAAAAATCCCCACTGTGCCTTGTGGTCAAAAATAAGTTGACCATTCAACCATCAGCGATTTATGATGTAAGGAATGGGCAAATTTTAGATATGAGCGATAAAACTGCATTTTGGTTAGTTTCAGCAGCTTCAACCGTGTGCCGCCCTACTACCGTCTATGTTATGAGGCGGCCGAATTCCGAGAGGAGCAAAAAGTAGCAAAAGTTACAATGTAATTCTAACCTAGAATTGTTCAAAGAATCGAATGGTGTCAAATTTGTAGTGTCAACTTTTGTCGAAAGTTGTTGATTTTCTATGTTTTTCAAAACCGTACTGATAACTAAAACACCGTTTACAATATATCTTTTATTTGGCGTTTAGAACCCCGAAATTTGACAAATATATTATTGTAATGCATCCACATACTCCACAATGATGTGGCCATTAGACCATATGCCACTTGTCATGCTGGATATCATTGCTTTCCAGTTATAAGCCACAGAATCGCGTGCTTGTTTTCAGCATCCATTTCTACCCGGTGTGAAAAGTAAGCGATGCCTGACTTTGAGCTCATTTTTTCTACTCAACATTATTATTAAGGGTAAAATGAGACATGTAACGTAAAAATTCAGACAATTTTACGCAAGATGAGCCCAAAAGAATGATTTAAGAGAGAAGTCGGTTCTGGGACTTAAGACAGGCTAGATCGGGAATATCCCTACGGTGCAGTGACCGTTTAACCTATCGATCAAACCCCAAATTTACCTGCCAATGCTTCAATCCCCTTCCATTGGTCTCCGGGGTGTGTGGGCGTGGCACCTGTTGCGCGGGGGCGTGTGACGTCATCTCAGCAGCCTGAGGAGGGCCTCGTCGGTGTCGGCGCGTCGGACCAGGAGGGAGCCACAGGTCGCCGTCGGCCCAGACCGCCAGCGGAGCCCCGAGAGACGCCACTGACCAGTGCGACCGGCCGCCGACCCGTGCGCAGGTACGACCCGCTCCTCACCCGGAGACGGCGGGGTACCCATGCCGTCCTTCTGCTCTCCAGCTTACCTCCAAACACATATCGTTATGCATTCGTGCAATCACTTTTGTTAGAAAGAAGTATGCCTAGGCGAGAAATTATATGAAAATTGCATGTTCATTTCATTATTTTAGCGAAGAATCCGGTGCCATAAGATAAGAGCTTACTCATACCTACCTCCAGGATAAAATGTGAGGAACACTGAGGCCAATATATAACAAATTTTGGGTGTGTTTAATTCATTTTTTACCACTTTCCTAGCCTTTGAGGAGAGCGTACGGTTTAACCCTCGCTGGCACAGGGGGGTGATGCAGCCCCCTAAGGTTTTTCGCAAATAACTCGCGTAAAAAGCGGCCGATCGCGACGAAACATTCAGTACCCTCGCATTGATCAATTTTACACCTACCCTGAAAATTTCATGACCCTAACCCAAATGACCTTTGACCTGTGACCTACTTTCCGAGGCCATGTTTGGCCGGAATCGCGATTCGGCGTATGTCGGCTCGCATTAGCCGCGCGTTTGCAAGCTTTTCGTGGTTTCCACGGTAACTATAAATAGTGGTTTCAAACGTTCAAACATGTGATTTGCTGTTGCTCCCATCATAGACCTCTGTATACAGTATACAGAGGTCTATGCTCCCATGTATTAGGGTGGATGTCAAGATCACCTGAAGGCCAGGTCAGGTCATTGACCTTTAGTGACTTTGGCTCACTTTTTCGAGTTTTACATGTTTCTAGGCTAGTTTTTGAAGCTGATTTCAATTTAGCAACCATTTGAGCATTTACGAAGTACCTAGTTTTGGTGCCTTCGTAAGTTCGTAACATGTTACGAAGCTGTCAGAGGCGGTTGACACGTATTACGAATACCCGTCACGACCCCTACCGGTTGACCTAACCTGACCTGACTCTACCTGGTCTAAATACTTAAAGACATCATCTCTGATCAAAACTAACACGATATTCGTGATCAGCACCCCGGAAAAAACACACAGCAGCCATATTTTACGACTTTCTAACAGAGGCCTCTTGCACCAAAATCCTCTTGCACCAATGCTTGAATTATTTTGCATCGTATACCCAGTCCAAGTCTCAAATGTAACAATTTGCGTGCAAAATTTAGCAAGCACATGTAGGATTATGTATTGAGCTATTGCAAACAAATTTACCACCTTTAGATTAGCTTATTCTGAAACCGGTTTTTCGATTTTACCTAGCTAGGTAGTTTGGTGCAAGAGGCCTCAGGTCCCGATTTTCCCGATTTTCGGGTCATTGACCTGACCTGGAAAGTCACCCGATGACCTAGGACCTTAAAATTGGATATCATCGGCTTCCTCTCGTGATGGGCAACACGCTCGTTTGTTTTCCGCGAAGCTCTAGCTCGATCAGGGGCCAAACGCGAGGGGGTCGTACCCCCCCCCCCCTTGTGCCGTCGAAGGACGCAAAATGACCTGTGCCGGAGAGGGTTAAGCAGCCCCGGTTTCGCGTACCTACTAAGCAGGCCTCCAGCCACCGCCTGACGATCCGTCTGTGTCCGTCTGCACTCTGCAGCCTCTCCACAATGTCCGCACTCGGGGGACGGGTGCCGCTGCTGGTGCCACTGCTGGCCCTGCTGGCCACGCTGGTCTCCAGCGGCGTCTCTCGCCGGCTCTCTCCCTGGGAGATGGCCGAGAGGGCCGAGCTGCTGCTGGAGGAGGTGGCAGACGACCTGCTGGCTCAGGAAGAGGAGCAGGGAGAGGACGGCCGCAAGGCGCCGGCGCCGGCCCAGTTTCAGTCGCGCTGTGAGCTGGTCGGTGAGTGGTCCAGTCCCACTGGAAGAGTCCAGTCCCGCTGTGAGAGGTGAGTGGTCCAGTCCACTCTGTGAGCTGGTCATTGAGCAGCCCAATCTCGATGTGAGCTGGTCGGTGAGTGGTTCAGTCCGATGTGAGCTGGTCGGTGAGTGGTTCAGTCCCGCTGTGAGAGGTGAGTGGTCCAGTCTGCTGTGAGCTGGTCGGTGAGTAGCCCAGTCCCTGTGTGAGCTGGTCGGTGACTGGTGAGTAGCCCAGTCCCTATGTGAGCTGGTCGGTGAGTGGTCCACTCCCGCTGTGAGCTGGTCGGTGAGTGGTCCATGAGTTCACTGTGAGCTCAGAGCTGGTCGGTGAGTAGTCCAGTCTCGATGTAAGCTGGTCGATGAGTGGTTCACTCCGCTGTGAGCTGGTCGGTGAGTGGTCCACGAGTTCACTGTGAGCTCAGAGCTGGTCGGTGAGTGGTCCAGTCTCGATGTAAGCTGGTCGGTGAGTTATTTCAAGCTGGTCGTTGGGTAGTGTCAGACTCGCTGAAGTTGCGTATGAGTTCTCTCATGTGACTTGTGGGCTGCTTGGTGAGTAGCTCGGAAGCGCTGTGAACTCAGGTCATTGCGTATGTAGCTGCACACTGCGGCGTCTCAGCTGCACAAAAATAGGAGCATCGTTTGTCACTTGGATAGTACCTTGTTACGAGTACGCGCTCTGATGTCACTCTCACCCTCGACTGACGGTTCTATACATCTCCGTCCGTCAGGTCACACCCAGCTGGTCCAGGTGCGCGGCTGCGCGCCGGTTGAGCTCACGGTGAACGCGTGTGACGGCATGTGCGGCTCGTCGGCCCACCCCTCCAGCTGGCACACGCTGAGCATGAACCCGAGACACGCGGTCACCTCCGTCGGACAGTGCTGCAACATCATGGAGACGAAAAACGTGGGTGGAAACGCGACTTAACAAAATGTTAACTATTTACTATAAGTATTTAGGAGAAACCAAACTAAATATAATGGAATATGGTCAGTTACGAGACCGCGTGGTTATGAGCGTAAAATTAGTATGCGTTCATGCAATTTATTTCATACCCAAAGATTTATAATATATTGCAGTGTCTGCCTCTTATCTAGCTTTTGACGTAGATAGCCCGTCATGATATGATATCCCGTGTTCCAGGTCAGCATAAAAATGGAGTGTATCAATGGACCCAAGCACGTGAAAATCAAGTCAGCTAAATCGTGCGCGTGCTTTCACTGCAAGAAGACGTAAAGTCGTTCTTATACAAGGGGCAGCATAAAGCATCTGACGTCCTCATGAACGTCTACTATGTTGCTGCAATGCTCGTACATGTGTGTGAAAGCAAACCAAAATATATAATGTTATTTGGTCGACATTAGAATATACAGTGATGCGTGATTCGTTGACAGAGCGATGTTCCCTTCATGCAAGATATGTTTGAATATTGTGAACCTGTGCATCAAAGCATAGGTATGCATTAGAATGGTTTATGCGTTTCAATAAATACTACACGTCTGGTTTTGCACGATAGTAATAAATGATAGAAGTCGGTAAACTTTCTTAAAAATTGATCAAGATGTAGGGCATGATCAATACTAGAATATCTAATTGTATTTGATTTTCATCACGGCTTCATTTTGTGGGTACGCTAATTATGAATTCGCTTAGATTAACGAGCCGTCATCATTCGTAAGCCGACGATTTATTTATGATTACTCGATCTGCCATCTGGTTTCGACGTGCCACCGACGAACATCACACGCCTACTTGGCATCACTCGTAAACACACAGCGTACCACACAGGAAATGTCAGCAATGGTGGAACTCTCCATCGATGTTTTGCTGGTACGTAGGTATGTATATGCTATCATCGCTGAACTCCTTCAGGAGCGGCATCCAGTGAGGCTAGCCATCAGGCAGTGTAGTAATTCAGTAGCGGCGGAACACCTTCAATTAAGGGAGGGGGAGGCACTGTCGACTTTTGGTCCCATTCTTTCCATGCAACGCCCATAGGGCTAATGTTAAGATGCCAAAATCAGAGGGGACACGGTACCTCGGTACCCGCCCCGTTCCGCCGCCTATGTAGTAATTGCGATGGAAAACATTTTAGAACGAGGACATTTGGAAGAGCGATCGGCAGCTCCAGAGACCCTGGCCGCGTTGCCAAGCCACCCAACACCGTTTTGTCGTAGGACCGCTGGTACATGCTAATGACAAAGTTCTTGGCCAGGTATGTTTCTGCGGGCGATGCATTGCGCTAAGTTTTGATTTATACATCGGTCGGTGTCCTGGCTCCTTGTAAATAAACTCGTTGATCGCACCTCTGTGTATTTATCATTCGCAATAAAATAGGTTTCTTGATCACCATTTTCTATTTGATAAGTTAATCCATGGGCTACGGGGTACATTTTTGCGCCTCCCTACGGTGTTTCGCAATTACGAGTATCTATTTCAAGCGCCAACTACATGGTCCCAGAAGGCACTTGGTTACGTATTACTCGCATGCGCACACATGAAACTAAATAATTTCGTCATTTATAAGTTAACTGCATAAATCAAACTTTTTTGGGGTATGCCACTTGCGCCATGTTGCCATATATCCAAACCCCATAATATTGCGTGGAGTCAAAGGAATGAACTGGACCGTTTCCTAGCGCGCTCGAGCAGTCGAGCTTTATTTTCGAAATGGTTGTCATGTGAATGCAGCCCAAAGGGCTTTCCAACAAGTAAACCATTCTGCTGCCAACGCACCCTCGGATAATTGTAATGCAGTGCGCCGTTTCGTTGTACGCTTCAGGGGAAATTAGGCTCTATTAGCCGATAAAGAGGGTCATGGCATTGCCATGACCCTTTTGGTTCCACCGACGTGTCGCTCATCAGAACTAACCAGGAGGCGGCGGAGAGCGTTGTCTCTGGCGCTCATTCTTTGTGAGACTCACAACATGGGTCACCTGGCTGACGTGGCCTATTCCACGGATAAAAATACAAAACTTCCGTTCATTCCCTTTCGTTTGAGGCATCGTTTGTCTTAATCGATGGCATAGTATACGGACACACGACAAAAATAAAAAGTTCCAAGGCTTAGAGCACACCATATATTTATAGCACACCTGATGATATCTTCAAGTGTTAATCGATGAAAACATGCTTTCATCTATGTATATAGGTGCATTTTAGATATGTTCATTCTGAAGAGCACGGATACACTTTTTAACATTTTTATGGGATTAGGCTATTTAACTTTTAAAGGTCAAATACTTTTATGTAGACGATTTTCAGCACCTGAGAGACCGTGACCTGACCATCGTGTGAGGTCAACACCTTAATGCGACCTGTCCCAATAAAAAACATAGGTATCACTCATCGTGCCTGAGCATTGTGTGAAGGAGTAATTAAATTTCTTCGAGTCTTTGCAAATCGTTGAATGAATCTAATCAAAGAGTCATTACACGAAGCGTTCGCCAATAAAAACGATCACTGCGTGAGAGTTGATCCCATAACGGGTCCCATGAGCGTGATCTAGGCTGTCCAATAGATACAGGTTATGCTACATTAGGTGCAAAACAGACAGCCTTATTATTCCCCCTTGGACGCATGGCCGGAAGTGCTCGCAGCTTACCTGTATCTAATTAATAACCGAGATATATGCAGAACATGAGGCTTTATTGAATGCCGACCTTCTGGGGCTATGCTTTTCCCACGAGGTTTTCCGGCAGTGGGCATTAGGCACCACTGCTGATAAATCACGAACCTCTGTAAAGTTATCTACCCTCTCAAGACATGGGCGAATCCAGAATGGCAGTCTCAGACGTTAGGGGGGCGGCATGCCTATTGAAAAGTTTCTCCAAATTTCAGAAACTCCTCGGATTTCGATGCATTAAGGGTTAACCACTGCTGTGAAATTTAAAGCAAATTTTCGCATAAAAATTGTTTAATTTTCTTTCTATCCTTTACATTATAAAACGACAAATATGAATCCATTCCGAGCACTGCGAGGGGGCATTTTTTCCCAATGCCCCCCCTCCCCCCGCCCTCCCCCTTGGATCCGCCAGTGTCCTGGGGCCAGGACAAGGGGCCGATGCCACATCGGGCTGTAGTTTAGTGATCGTCCAAAAGCAAGCTGCAGCAGGTAGATAGTTGAGAAAGTAGCAAGCTAACGAGCCCTCACAGCTTACGAGTATATATCGAATTGTTGTATTGGGTCACCTGATGTTAGATGTAACGCGACTCGATTAAGAAAAATTGGCTCATTTAGCGCCAGAAATTATCGACCCTATCTCAAGCCATCGACCAATCTGAATCGATCAAGTATACACTGTGGATCAAGTTATCTTCAGAGGTTATTGTACTTCGACAAGCTGTTTGAAACCGTTTGAAGCCGTTTGACTAGACCCTTTCAAAACTGCCTAGGTCGTTTCCAAACGGCCTAATATTTCAGGCGGTTTGCAAACGGCCGGTGTTTTCAGGCGGTTTTCAAACGGCCTGACTCGGCCGGGCCGTTTGTAAACGGACGGAGTTTTCATACCACTTGTAACATATGCATTACAATATACATTTCTTCCTTTCCTGTCCTCTGTAGGTCAAATGGTTCACCTGAGGTCAAAATGGTGCAAATATGTTGGAAAGAACATTCAAAAAGCTGTCGATTTTAGGTAGAAGGTCGCTTTTCAGCGACCTTCTACCTCTTTTTGTTGCTGGCTTAGGAGGTCAGATATTGTCAGTCACAGTCGGGAAGTCATAAATTGTGACCTTTGCTGGCCTCCAGTGACCTCAGGATTGATCTGAGCGAAGAATGATCTAGGGCGATTCTAAGTTTCTTGTTGAGCGCTATCGACTACTTTTCTGCGTCTTTCTATCTTTCTTACTTCTCGAGATAACAGGTGTGGCCATTTGCGCCCCCCCCCCCCTCCCACCACCATGGCAAAGTTGGGTGAGAGGCCCACCTGGGCGCGGGCTAAGCCAAATAAAATAATACAGCAACGAGTAGTATCAAAATGAAAATTGTCCTCCTAGATTAAAGTTATTGAGCTCAACGTAAAGCTATACAGTTCATCTCTCCCCCCCCCCCCACTTCGTGTGAAGTAGTACTGAGAACCATACATTGGCGTCGAAGGCATCCACAAACACAACGATGTCCAGAAATTCAGATAATGTATTCGATACATGTTATTTCAAAACGTGAATGCGAAAGAACAATCGATATCCAGCAAAAACAATTACAGATTGTCAAATAACGTAGTTTATTCAATTCTGAACAAAGAATATGAACCACCAAGTGCTCAATCATCAAGCGGCCCACAGTAGCGACCACCAGCCGTCTACATAGTCGCAACTGCGGGCACTTGGAGGGCGAATCACAGAGTCGTTTGGAGCGGGCTAGTCGCGCGGGCCGCCGACCGGTCGCGGTGCTGCCAGCCTCGTGCCCCACAGGGGACGCTTCCGCGGCAGGTCGGCGGACTGAGCAGGCATGCAGTGTCGCACTAGGGCTCTACATTCATGTATACATGCGACGGATGCGTCATACATTTGTCTGGACGGCCGCCAGCCTCTCGTTGCAAAAGTTTAGTCTTGTAGATGTTTTGAAAAGAAGGGCAAACAGAAAAATCAGAACATTAACCATCGATATCATCGAATTCAGTGTGGAATCGATGTTTTCGAAACCCATTGTTATGGAAAACATACATACATGTTTTATCTCGAAGTAATACGACACGATTAAACTAAACGGTGAGCATTTCAATTACTACACGAGAAGGAATAGAGGAATGGAACGAGAGGAAAAGAACACGAAAATGCGACGATTTTTTATAAAAAAAAAAATAGATTGTAAAAGAATACCTAAAGCACTTGCTCGCCACTGTCTCTCGATTCTCCATACAGAGCGCATCAATGGAAACGAGTCAACACTTCAAAGCAACGAACGATGATCATATTCATTTCATATTCATGAACCTTGCGTTGACAACAATTAGTAAAATCGAAGCGAAGTAGTAAAACTCAAGGTTACGGACGTAAGACTCGGAGTGAATATGGTCCTAAATCGACTCTGGACTATTGGTCTCGCGGGAGGTAATCTTAGTTGTTCATCAGTTTTGCACTCGTGCCATTCACATTCATTTCTTAGAAACAGCACTCTGAACGTTTATAGGTGGACTCAGGCGCAAGAAATTTAGTTACCTGTGCTGCTATTTCTAATCAACCTGAGATTATTGCCGTGAAACATATAAATATATCATCATTCATTTATGTGTTATTCATTTTTTACATTCTATCGTCTGAAAATGGAATCAGTTCATCATAGAAAGCCATCTTCTTTTGCGGCCTGATTCGAGCCATCGATATCTTCGGTTGTCAATTTCTATCAAAGTCTTTCCTGGTCCATCGCATCTCTCCCCTTGGCTACTGTTTAGCCCCTGTCTGCTCACTGCCACCGTCTACGAGGCAGGTCTCCAGCTGCGCGTGCTCCTGAACTTGGCACCCTCGCAGCTGGCTCTGGACGAGTCGCAGACGGCGCACTTGCACGAGACGGCGTCCACGTACTGGTAGTCGGCCGTGCCCTCGGCCACGCCCGGGTCACAGTGGGTCAGCGTGACAGAGCGCGTGGCGTTCCGGTCGTGGATGCAGACTGGGTGGTGGGAGCGCTTGTACGGGAACCGCCAGTCGGGCACCTGGGGAAGGCGAGAACAGAGCGCGAGTTAGAGTGAGTGCAGGCCCGAGGCCCTTGGGGAGGTGGACAGACACTGAGCCTGACGGCAGTGGGTGAGGACTGAGGTGTAGGGCGGCGTTCCTGCTGAAATTTTCGTGTAAGACCAGCTGACGCACTCCTGGCTTTAGACGGATTAACGACGGACGGATTAATAACGATGCAGTTATTTAAATGCAACACCTCAAGTGAACTAAATGCAAAGCCATTTTTAAGCTTCGCTGGATTTTTGCTCGGAGTTTTAAAAGGGAAAAGCTTGGGCCAAGTTATACCGAGTTCTGGACCTTCGTGCGTGTGGTGTGTGCATGCCGATTGACGCCGATGAAACAGACTTTGCCATTTTACAGCTATTTGGAAGATTCATGTTAATGTCTGCACCAAAATGTCCCATTATGCCGAGAGCATAAGGTGAAGGTTGCATGTCATTTTATCGTCAGCGCTCCATTCTTTCACATTTCCGACTTCGGTCTTAAGTGAATTTGCATACGCTAGCGCCACGAACAGGGTGCTCACAATACGAGTACCATTACTGACTCAGCTCTTACTGGCTGCCAACCCGATTTAAAGTGCACCTCTAGAGGTTCATTCTAAATGTAATTAAAGGGACCCTCCCACCTTCAAAAAAGTTAATGAATTGGCATAAAAGTGATGTAGCGTGAATCACAAAGAGCGGAAATGAACATCTACCAAATTTTACCGGGAAATATTCACCCGTTTTCGAGATATAAGACTTTTATTTTTGTTTACTTTTTGGGAACTCCGCTGCTTCTATGACGTCACATAAAGGTTTTCTTTACGTCGGTATTTGGAAGCAATAGTTTGGTATCAAAGTGCGACAAATATTGCGCGAATGATACGTTTATCTTATCAAGGTCAATATATGATGGCCAATAAAGGATTCCAGGATAATTCTTCTTATGGCATTTCTTCGTATCGCAATTCTTCGTCTGCAAATCTTCGTCAGGGCATTTATTCGTATCGCATTACTCTGTCTCGCATCAGGGTATATGAAAATCGGCTCGCATTTCTTCTTCAACGCAAATATATGCAAGAGTAAGAGGGACAAATAAATGCACCGACGAAGATCAAGATTTGTAGACGAAGAAATGCGGACGAAAAATTGTGCTACGAAGAAATGTCATGCGAGGATTCGTTCGGGTACCATGACATTTATGTGATTTCAAAGTCAAGGTTCACAGCTGATCTGCTAAATCAAGCCAAGAATCCAAACTATCAAAAAAAACTATAAATATTTGTTTGTCACAGAGGTCTCAAGCAATATAAGGTTGACATTGTTGAATCAAAGATCTACTGCCACAACTCACATCTCCTGCCTTAGTTTATCATTGTTGTTTTAACTTGCTTTCAAGAGAAACAGAAGCCAGTATCTGATATCACTTCAGATGATTGTTTCAAGATCTGAGTTCAAATGGAAATAAAAGCAAGATCAAGATGAAACAAGGATTATTGCTGTTTAAGTAGTTTGGCCATGATACAACAAGCACGCAAATCATTAGCCAAATCAAATACTGGTTGGTTTGTCAAGATGTTTGTTGTCTTATCAGTCGAGCTGCTATGAACACTGAACGCTCTCACTCTTACTTTAAAGAGAGTAGTTTAAGTTGAATGGTAGTGAGCTGTAATTAGACGAAGCAGCTATTCAGTGCTCACATCAAGCCAGGCTAGGAAATGGCATCAACTGTGGTGGGAGGAAGCAGGTTCGGCAGCCCTATGTTGTAAACTTCTGTTGTGTCTTGTGTTGGATCAACTGATGTTTTCTGCTCTGTTTTGTGCAGTGATAGTAGCAGGTAACTGCATGTCACTTGTCAAATTATGTGAATAAACGAATTCATAGCATTGCATTTTTCTCTCCATGCAAGGAACAAGTAAGATGTTGTAGAAAATGTAATAGAGGGCTGCATTGCTGATTTTGCACTTTATCAGAGCTTTATTTAGAATTGCTTTCCTGAAAGCTACACACAGGCCACAGCACTGAAATTCACAATGTCATAGCTTTTGGCAGAAAAAAAGAAAAGACTTACCTAGGTAAAATTGGCTGAAAGTATGGCAGAGCAGGTCTTGATGCGTATGCCCATCCGTGTGCTTGCCGAAGCCGAACTGACTGCAACACATTAACTCTGACCCACCATGGTGGCTGGCATATCCTGAACTTTCACCACTCTAAACAAGACAACTTTCAGCCCTCAGCATTGTATTAAAACACTGTACATGACACTCAAAATTTGTTTCAGTGCCATCCACAGACAACATCAGTCGCCATTCACCAGGCCAGTAAAACAGAATAGGTAATAGCTTCAAACCCATGTAGTCAGAGTTACTAGGTCTGCACCTCAAAATAAAATCCAGGTGACATTCACCACGCCAGTAAAAAACAGGTACTTAGGTAACTAACAGCTTCAAATCTGGTAACATGTTGGTCGGACTTTACACTACCATATTTACATGGAATAATATGATATCAAACAATAGTGCAACCATTCTGGACAACAATAGAGTATGATTAAATTAATTTAGAATACTTTGGCAGCATGATTTACGAGCACGGGCAGGTGTTACCTACCAGCCTTCTCAATGCTCGTAAAACCAACATTGTAATTTTGATTTTACCTTACATGATAACACACTTGGCTGCAATGGCACATTTAATTTAATAATGTGAAAAGACCAGTTATAACCACTTCACAAGCACAATTGCACCTCATGCCGACATTCTTTTCCAAAGACAGCAGCGTCTTTCGTCAAAACCAGAAGATCAATCCCCTTTCAACTGTTAACATCAAAAATATTTCTTCATGGTGTGATCTCCATATGGAAACCTTGCAGGAAAAGAATTAATGTCAATTGTCAGCTCTTCAAATTTCTTTGGACTTTAACTTGCACTACCATATCCAGTTTGCTTTGATATTTTGTTTTTTATTCCATGTTGAAGTTGAACACCAAGCTCCAGATATAGCAGGCAGCTTGATCATCTTCGGCCTTGGTATAATATCAGTCCAAGTTCCAGTGGTGGGTATCTTCTAATATTCAAATTAAAATGAAAATCAATAGGCTTTCTCACAGCGCCGACGACGGATTTCACGTTGATTAAAAACGGGAACTCAAGGTCAGCAAAATTCGGGTTCAAGGAATGGCGGGCGTTGAAAGGACTGCTGACGTCATCAAAAAACCGCTAATGGTTAAGAGATAGGGACTAAGCTGGTCCCACCCTGCAAGTAAAGGGAAGGAATTTCTTGAACACCATAAAGCTGCGGGGGTTGCGACCAGGATAAATGGTGATTTCTGAGCCTGGCCGCAAACTTGGCTATCTCAACTCAAAACTAATGTTAAGGTGGGATGGTCCCTTTAATGTCACACATTGACCCAGGAATTCGAGGGAGGCAGACGAGCGGTAGAAACGCCCATGCATACCTACATATCCATAAGGAGTAAATAGGCGAGAAAATCTGGGGGAGACATGTGCGTCAGTAAGGTGAATATAATCCAGCAATGTGTATCCCGAATGCCGTTCAATAACGAAGCACAGACGTCGTGAGAAAACGTCAAGAAAGAGGTGCGGCCGCCTTTATAAATCACACGGCGCAGTCTACTGCCAGCGCCGCGCCGGTAGGCTGACCCGCACAACACCCTGCGATCGTAGGCTGTACCGCAATGTCTGAGGGCCGTCCGCGAGCTGATCATGAACCATCATCCCGGCCGCGCCGGCTCACGCGTTACTGGTTAGTTTCCACGAGGTCGCCGGTCCCTGCCCCGCCACAGGTGATCTCAGCGATGGCACGTGGTCGGAGACAGCCCGTCAACGGCCCACGGCTCGCCGGATTAGACGAAGGCAGAGGCACAGCTCTTCACTTGGCCAGTCATGGCTAATCTGAACGGGCGGCCGTGAGGGACTCGTTGGCGGAGCGCGGATGGGCCCAGCACAGCGCCGTACGAGGTGAGAGCCGTGAAATTTTAATGTGCGCCCGGTGTGGGAGACGCCCGTCAGGAGATGCCTGGTCGGTCGGTCGGTTGGTGCGTCCGTCCGTCGGATGCTGCGTGCTGGAGTCGGCGTCAGAGCGTGGGTCGTGTGTAGCGTAGATAAAGAGCGAGCGAGAGGAGAGAGGGAGAGAGGGAGAGAGAGAGAGAGAGAGAGAGAGAGAGAGAGAGAGAGAGAGAGAGAGAGAGAGAGAGAGAGAGAGAGAGAGAGAGAGAGAGAGAGAGAGGAAAGAGGGAGGGAGAGAGAGAAGGGAAAGAAGATCAGATTCCCGGTACCTGCTTTTTGGGTTATCGTCTTGGCTTATTGTTAGCGAATCAGAATCACTTCAGTGTATTACCGCCATTGACTATATGAACTTCCTAGATTACATTATTTGAATAAATTGATGCATACAAATTCTGGGAAATCTTTGGTTATGCGATGCCGTCAAGTCAATAATGTATAGCCTCCTGCCACATCCATGCGGACGACCGGATGAGGCGGAAATCAGCTCACAAGGGGCGCTCATCAGCTTTCAGCAGCACCCTTTGATTACACCTTGGAGCGTCCAGTGAGGTCGGGATTACATTACCCGAAAGAAATTCCCTCTTGGTCGGTGCACGAGGACATCATCAATGGCGTTTATTAGTGACACCATTTTTAGACATCCGAAAGATATCAGGGGGATAGCCCTCACAGCAATGCGAACATAGAGGTTGAATGACATTTGGTTCTTTGTCTCTTAGCTGGAACAATCCTATCGGTCCCCGCAGCCAATTCATTTGACCAGAGCACGTAGGTATATGTACTTGCTATGCAAATTAGAATTATTCCACATAGGTGATCTGAGGCATCTAAAACAGGGGGTTTTGAGACGTTTGTTTGGCAAGCTATAATACGAATCATTTGATGCTCTTATGACAAACTCAGGGCTGCGGAGTCGGAGTCGGCGTCGGAGTCGCTCGGGTCGGAGTACTTTTGTAATTGTTTTGTACCTAAGTAAAACTGCTGGGTAGTTTTGCCCGGAGTCAGAGTTGGAGTCGCTAAAATCTTACCGAATCCGACTCCGGAGTCGGGATTAATACCGCATGGCTCAAAGTCATGCCTTACACCCGTTTACTTGCCGACAACATTATGCTCACTGACCTTTCAAAATAAGATTATTTCGAAGCTAAGGCCATACCCGTTTTGGACATGCATTTTCATTGAAAAACAGATGATTGTATGCTGCAGCCAAAACCTGTTTTATTTTGCAAGCTATCTAAAAGTTAAGTTGCAATACGAGGCCACTGCTCAATTCAGGCAAGATAAAACGATCTTCGACATGAACTTTACTTTCATGATGTGACAACTTTAAGGGCAATGTCCGGAGTCGGAACTGGAGTTGGAGTCGGAGTCGATTTTTTAAGTCGGAGTCGAAGCCAGAGTCACCAAAACAATCCGTCGACTCCGCAGCCCTAGTCAACATAGCGTTCTTGCGTTCTTAGCCATAATCATTAATCACTCGCTTGAAAATAAAATCGTTGAAAAAATTGTTTTGCACAGAGGCGATTCCAAGTGAGCGATATTAGGGGGTTTCGTCTCCCATTAATGACCCCCCCCCCCCCGCCCCGGCCCGGCGAGTGTAGCAACGAGCAGCGGTCCGGCGCGATAACTGCAGGTTTAAACTATGTATTTATTTTTAATGTCGAACCTGGCACACAGTACAGATAGAGTTTAAAAACAGGAATGCACGCGCATTCCGAAAAGCAAAGGATGTTGACGCATTTGTCATCCTTCATCACACTGTTATGCTTGCGACAAAGCCAGAGTAAAAATACCCTCTCACTTTAGATGACCGGCATTGACCCAGACATATCACCCCGAGTGACAGACAGTGATCCGTCTCACTCACCCCGAGTGACCGACAGCGACCCCGATATCTCACCTCGTGTGACCTGCAGTGACCCCAGTCTTCGAGTGACCGACAGTGACCCCAGTCTCACCTCGTGTGACTAGCAGTGACCCCAGTCTCACCCCGAGTGACCTGCAGTGACCCCAGTCTCACCTCGTGTGACCGGCAGTGACCCCAGTCTCACTTACCTCGTGTGACCTGCAGTGACCCCAGCAGGTCATGACCCGGATCTGGTCCCAGCAGGCGCGGCCCGCCCCGTCACGCTGCATCACGCTGAACGAGAAGTCTGGCCGCGGCTGGCAGGGAGTCGCGTCACTGGCCAGGTCGGCCAGCAGGGGCGGCCGCCCGGCGACCGGCCGCGCAGCTGCCGCCAGGAGCGCCATCCCCGCCACGAGGAGCAGCAGCGGCGGCGGCGGCGGCGGCGGCGGCAGCGCCCGGCGGTGGTCCCGGCAGCGCGGACCCGTCGCCATCGCGGCCAGAGTCGACCTCGACGCGACGATCGCACGGCTATAACGGCCACCTTGCCGCCCACTGCTGACGTCACAGCTGGCTCGGCCAATCAGCGGCCGGCGCACGGTGAGGTCATCAGAGAGCAGCGCCAATCGGCGGCCGGCGGAGCACGAGCTGCCTCCTAGCAGGCACGGTCAGCGAGCGGATCCTATACGCGGGGTCTCTGAAGGCAACGCGACACCTCACAGGTAAAAGTACCACGAACAGTACCGTCAAACATCTCTCACCGTGCTCAATGGGTTTGTATTTAACTGGGCTCTGTCCGCCCTCAAATAAGGCGGGCGATGAACGTGTTGTAAAGATGTATCAATCCAGCCGGACTGTCAAGGCTCCGGGTCCATGCACCGGCAAAGGGAACGTATAAAAATATCGCCGTCGACAGCTGAGAACGAAACGCAAGGCGCACGGCCGCCACACGGGCCCGACCAGTACGGCAGCGGGTGAAACTTAGACTGTACACTACCAACCACACCGCCAACAGCCGTACGGCAACGGCAACAGACACCGGCTCGCACACAGACAGACAACTGTACAGCGAGCGCGCTCACACACAGGTAACATATCTAAAACGGCACCGACGCACGCGCGTCGCGCCACCGAACAACCACTCGCGACCCTCGGTATTGTCACTGGGCGTCACGGCGCCCGTCACGGGTCGAACATCACGCGGAGTCACGGCGCCACCACAGTCCTAACGTTACGGCGCCTGTCACGGGCCCGGCGTCCCAGCGCCGGTCGTGCGTCCGCCGTCCGGTCGCGGCGAGTCCCAGCCAGTCGGCAGTTTGTACTGGTGCGCGGCGCGCTCAGAACCGGGCGCGGATGTAGACGGCCGACACGTCGTGGTCGCCGTAGCCCACCCGCTTGGCGTGCTTGAACATCTCGTTGGCGGCAGCTGTCAGTGGCAGCGGCTGCTCCAGCTGGTCCGACATGGTCAGCGACAGCTTCAGGTCCTTCTGCATGTGCTTCAGCGCCATCTGAGTCTGGAAGCCGCCCTCGATGATGGCTGCGATAGAGGGGGTGATAGGGCGTTACACCGGGGACGACACTAGTGTGGCCAAATTGGTGATGTTGCGGGGAAAGTCACCCCCAATGAAAAGTATAATGACATCCTCAGAAATTTTAAAATTACATCATCACGACGTTTTTGTTGTGAAAGCATACCTATAGTAGTGTAGGAATACCGATTAAAAATGTTCCAATGTACAATTCGCACCGTCATACTCGTGCTGTCGCGCCTGCAATGTTTTTTTTTTTTACATCTTTAATGACAATATTTGGAGTTTTTTCCACCAGAGCTTGACGTCAGGCATAGTTTTCCACTTTACTTGTAAAAACTGCACCTAAAATGAGGCTGAAGACGATTTTTTTTTTGAAAATAGTGACATCCTCATACGCCTTTTTTATACATCCTCCCCCTAACGCTAAACCAATTTGGCCACACTGGACGACAGGGACACGCAGGAATTCTCTCAAATCGTACATACCCACGAATTTTTTCTTCTCTCGATTGGTACCCTAGCTGATAATGTTATTGATGAATAACCGGCGGATGAATTGACTGGAATGTTCGACAAATGAAAGAAGTGTTGTTGCTAACATTGATTAGTATGACGGACACTAAGGGTAACGAGTGAACAGTGTCTGTAGCCTGTACCCCCTATTTTTGACGCTCTTTCGAATGCCGCTTACCGCATGTCGCTACGTGGCCCAGGAGCCGAGTTACAGGGGGAATGTTCACCTCCCCCTTCCGATTGCCCTTCGAGCAGATCTTCTATCAACACCCTTCGCATTACAGCCCTTTCACGCTGCCTCTCGAGAGACTGCCCGCTCGGATCTGGTCTAACACCATCCCTCCCCGTTCGTCGTCACTCACCTCTTCCCTTTTCGAGCAGCAGCGGGCAGGCCAGTGTGGTGAGACCGAGCACCTCCAGAACGTCCTTCTGCTGCAGGCCGGAGCGGTCGGCCAGCGCCATACCCTCGGCCAGGCCGGCCATCGAGACGCCCGTCATCAGCTGCAGCACCAGGTTCATCTTGGACGCGTTGCCCACCTCACCTGGAGGACACACGAGATGGGGACATAGACCGGTTATTGAAAGGCAGTCAATGCCGGATGGGGACAGGGTCCCGCCTCACACTTACACGTAAAACTAGAACGCTGCAAGACAGGCTATGCCGTGAGGGGGGGGGGGAGGATACATTATGCGGTGATCAAACACGTTATTCCGAGATAGTCCATATCGCACATTGGTTACAATTATCTTCCCATATTTTCGTTTTGCGCACTATTGGTAAAGAGCACAGATCACACCATGAATTAGACACTGCATGCAGATATTCTCAAAGACGACCCTTAAAACGCAGTATGTGATGACATACAAGACATGAAAGAATGCAAAGGGTCGGGTAAAAGTGACATGTTTGGTGTTCTAATAAACGCGGTAGTTGTCAATATTTTTTCAGATTATCAGGAAAACCACGACCGTAACACCACAACGCTTGAAACAGACGAAAAGCTGAACACAGTGCTAAACATTTTTTTTCTGGCAAATTTATAACTACCGTAAAATAAACTTGCTTTGTCAGATGAGATAGCCATGATTGCACTAGCAATTATCAGAATAAAAAAAAACACTAAGGGAGCAAATGAAAAAAGACAAAGGTGGCTATTGGGTGACTATTGCACAAGCCGACTCCTACGCCCTCGGGGGATAAAGATGACAAACGACAGGGTTGGTACCGGTATTAGAGCATTTCAATCCGTCTTTAATTGCTACACGACGCCGCGCAAGCCACCGGAACCCCTGCCAGTGGTCGAGTGATAGCTTTTCGGTCGATTTGGGACGGCGTCGCGACGGAGGGAGGGGGGGGGTAGGAGGGGGCCAGATGTCGCCCCCAGGTCGGGTGACCCCCCCCCCCTCCTCTCTCTTCCCCTCCATTGCTGGACGATCCAGTAACCAGACATGATGACATTCGCAAGACACACCAGTCACACACACTGTCACACCTACACAGTAAGGCACATGGCCCGCCAACCTTTTCAGTGATTCTCCCACTCCCCTCACCGACAGACAAGGTGAGCTTATCCGAGAAATGGTCGCAGTCGGCAAACGCTGAACAAGATCGTCAGTGACACCGTGCTGGTAAACTGTAAAGTAATACGTAATCTGCATTCCTAGTGCCAAAATGTGAGCCTACCGCTGCAATCTAATGTGCGTGGAGGATGTGCAGTTTAAGTCTGCTTTCCCGGTAAAATTCGATCCTCTAGCTCTGAGGACCTACCACAAAGATGAGATATCACTATTCAAATGGCAACCGGTACCACAGTGGCGAATATCCGTTTGAAAAGCTCAGCGATACGCACCGCGATGAAACTTTAAACAGACGAGATCCAAGAGAACGAACCACGTCCTGTGTTAGCGGCAATTACATTAGCGTTGAGGCTCCTACCATCTCGGCCTACTGGGAAAACTGCGCAAAGCATGCCTAACAGCGACAGCTCAGCTTCTGAATTTCTTTGTTTGACAGGTTCACATAAGATTATAAAAGAAAGTTTCTCCGTCAATCCCGCTGAATTATGCATTATGCCTGCGCTCCTTGACGATAACTGCTCCTTTACCACAAGACCGATAGCTGTGATTTGCCGATGTTAATTTTTTTCTTTTTCTTTTACGCCGCCACCCATTAACCCGCGAGTTGCTGGGGGGGGGGGGGGCGTTAAACGCCCCCACTTTTTTCGCCGGGCCATAGCATAAAAACGGCGCGCCAAATTTTGGGTACCTGTAGGGAATTGAATGAAGTTTATTGTGACAAAGTTTCAAAAAAATCGGTCGGAAAATTTTTGAAATATCGAGGTTTTAGTGACGTCATGATTTCTGAGTTTTCGACCAAAAACGGCATATGTTCAAAAAATCATATAAAATCACAGAATAGACATACAGACATGCCGTAAACGCCATTAGACTGCCAATACCATGATCAATCAAATGGCTATCTTCGATTATTGATTATCGTTCCGCATTTTCCATAATCTTGAACTGAATCTTGGCAATTTTTCGTGACTACTTCACGACCATGATACATGCATTTCTTAAATTGAACTTTTTGAGCCAAACACGTACACATATGACAAAATGAATGTCACCATCGTGTTCTACGCCCCAAATTACCTATAAAACATGTGTCACAGGCTGCGAATATCAGTTTTGATTTTCGGGGATATGTGCCTACCCGGTTGACCTGACCTTGACCCTGACCTATGCTTGACTGACCCCGACATGGAGCTGACACTCTTGTAGGCCTTATATGATGGATTGTGCACCGTTTGGACAGAGTTTATGACGAGAGGCACCCATTGCGAAGTCCTGAAGTCCATGCTACTGAAAGCCCGATTTCAGGTGTTTGACCTGACCTTGACCCGACCTGTGACCTCAAAATTCAATTTTAAAGTACTCATCTGAAGCGTCTCGTCGCGCTCTTTCGTTTGCCGCCTCGTGCGTTTCGCTGCGCCTATTGGTTCTCGAGTTATCGGCTGGGGGCGTTTAACGCCCCCCCCCCCCGCAAACGGTGGGTGGCGAAATACCCCAGCAACTGCCGGGTTAATAGGTGACCAGGAGTGCCCCCACCCTCGAACCCAGCGACACACAGTACCCTTACTTTAACACCAGTAAAACCAAAAATAGCAATGTCGCGGCACTCCCAGCTAAGATATGGAAAAGAAATAAGAAGACAAGAAGGGAGCGAGGATGTAGGTATGGTATAATCATAAGAATTTCAAAGTCATTGTACCTTTGTCTAATAACAAATCAAACAGGAAAGGAATCATCATGTTTCAGTCCGGACTTAAGACGCGCTTTTTTAATGAGCGGTGGCTAGCCGAAAGTTATGAGGGCAACGTTTATAATTATCAGTGATGCTTCCGTTGTCATACGAAGCATTTTCCAAACGCCAGAAAAAGATTCTTACGTTGCCGCTGTCTTATGCATTACAAAACAAAGAACAAAGGGCCCAGCAACATACAATGCGCTCATGCATTGGTCACCCACCTTCCCCACACATTCATTGAACATGATCGGAACCACAGCCCGCGGCGGATTAAGGGCAGTGGCGCAGAACAAGCCAGGAGGTTTGCTAGATTGTTCAAGCGAAGAGCTGCAGCAGAGAACAGGTGCAGACGAAACACAATCATAGCAGCCGAGCTCGGCGACAAAGATATACCAATTCATACTCGGCCTATTATTTGAGGTAAGGCCCACGCACTTTTTTATGAAGCAGATGGTTCCCAATATTACTTTTCTGATAATGGTTCCCAGTAAACCACAAAAAGCAAAACTATAAATTTAAACCGATGGTGATAAAAAGTTCAGAAATTCATGCCTACTGAGCGAGTGCAAACTGCACGTTAATGTCACTCAGATGTTGTCCCAATTTGAATCATTCAGGCCGGGACAGCATGTAAGTAAATTCAAGACCAGCCACTCTCGCTGGCTGGCCCGAGTCGAATGCTCTTACCTTACCACTCGGCACTCATCAACTATGAAAGGCTGTCTTCCGATTTTCATCAGGGCTATCCCAGGAATTTTTCTTGTGGAGAGGGCAGGACTCCCATGAACAACGAATGAATTACAAAGAATGACGGGACCGAGTCATCAACAAACTGACGAAAACATGGTCAAATATGCGTGAAAAGTTGAAAACCATCTCGGTTTCCAATGCATCATTTGTCACTAGGATCCTATGAACCGGCATAATAATTTTGTTTGGTTAGGCTCTTTCAGTCTAGTTATTGTGGCATGAGATGAGAAGATTGGGGGAGATATTGAACTGAGTCAACCACTAGCTAATGCATCGCAGTAACTGATCTCAACCAGTTGCGACAAGAATGCCTCGGTACCCCTGAGGTGCAAGCTCCTCTTACATTTACACTCCAACAGTGTTTGTTGGTTTGTTTTGTTGGGTTAGGCCCAATCCGGTCTGACGGGACCATTGCCGGAAGGATGAAAGGAATTAGGGGGAGACATGGTCTCGGCAGGCACCCCAGAGAGTCACCGGGGCTGAGCCAGTCCAAATGGACAGGCCGGCCGACCAGCCCTCCAAGCACTCACTGCATCCGGCTACGGGTGCGCTCCCTTGGGAGCAGCGGTGCCGCTCCCAGGGAGCAGCCCGCATGAGATAAGTTGCCAGTGCAGCCCGGAGCGAGGGTTGCGGCGTGGAGATGATTTGAACATTCTGAGGATGCAAACGACGGGACGGGTGTAGGTGGGGTAATTGCATGCTTGTTGCATGTTATATTTAGCCGGTGACCTACCGAGATAGAAGGAGTTTTTGCCGACGGCTTGGAAGCACGACTGGCAGTCGTCGAAGAGGGAGCGGTCGCCGGCAGCCAGTAGCACCAAGGTACCCTCCTCAGCCTGCTGTTTGCTGCCCTGCACCTGCGCCTCCATGTACCGGCCGCCCTTGGCACCTATCGCCTGCAACACAGAGACATCTGGTGAGCGAACACATAACTACAGTCACAGCGCGACGCCACCAGGTGATAAATGTAAACAGAACGATGATACAAAGACAACGAGCAATGCCTATAAAAAAAGACAAAAATTTGAAAAGGCAATACGAAACTTAACTCAAGAAAGACGTTGGGAGCTGATCATTTAATGTGGAGAAAGGTACGTTCATCGAGTCAAAAGCATATTACGTTGAAATAAATCATCGATATGGAACCGGCGAGCCAATCAGAGCTAAGAACATTCTCAGTTCCGACAGCAGTGACCAGACAGAGCCGATAACAACGCCTTCCCTGCAGAGCATCTGTCAGTTCACATCGCTGTGCTGCAGAGATGAAGCGGTTCCCTGAACGGATCATATCGGTCGTTGAAAGGTGCAGTTTCAATTTCACCAGATCGGGCGGCAATGCACGGATCGGGCTCCCACTCACAGTTCACACCGCTGGCATTATACTGCTCCGTGAAACAACGAGAAACTGAGGGGATGTGCAAAGGCGAGGAGATTACGGAAATTGTAAACGGATGGCATACGTGGGCTAAAATAGACAGGCGACCACAGCCACTCGTGACTGTTTCAATACACAATTTTCAAATTTTCACGAAAGTTTACGACTGAATAGGAAATAAGCCGGCAATAACTGATAATATCGCGTTTTCCTCGTAGCACTAAACCAAACAAAACATTTATAGCTGCTCCTCCAGGTTTTTTTTAGCGACGTTGCCCCTCCAAGAAAGCCTCTACTCACATCGGCCAAGTCCTGCGAGGTTTCGGCATCAATACCCGTCATTTCCACGTAGCCCTTGGTGGTAGTGATTTCCTGAAGTACGCCGCAGTTGCCGAATATAATCTGTAAATGATCGAGATAGTTCAGCGAGGGCTGCAACGACAGCAAGTTAGAACAATGAGGACGGGAGTAGCCTGTGGGAAGTGGGAACGTGATTTGTCAGATTCTGAAGATAGATGAAAAGTAGGTGCAAAATACAGTAACAAAAAAATCGAGCAAAGGATTAAACAAAATTCCCTGAAACTTCAATATCATAGCTAAAAAAAAAAACCAGAAGGGATGGGTAGTCACTTACATAAGCGGCGGAACGGGGAGGGCACCGGGGCACCGTGCCCCCTTTGATTTTGGCATTTTAACGGTATGGGCGTTGCATGGAAAGAATGGGACCAAAATTCGGCAGTGTCCCCCTTAATTGAAGGTGTTCCGCCGCTACTGGTCACTTAATAAGCATAACTGTTGTTAGGTCTAAAACAAGCTGAAAGCTTGCTCCTAAAACAAAGAGCATGCATCAACAAATGTTCCTCGTATACTCAAGTCAAGACGAACACTCACGTCTTTGGCCACTTGTGGGTCGGAGACACAGCAGAATGTGACGTCAGCGGCACTGATGACGTCACTGGGAGTAAGGCCCCGCTCGGCGCCGGCCTTTACAAAGTCGTCACACTGAAAACAACATGAGCCGGTTATCAATGAGTAGATTTCAAGACAGAAAAAGAATGACAATCAAATGCTTCCAAATTACTATTATAAAACTAAGAGGCTAGCAAAAACATTGATTTCTTTCCTAAATGTTTATGCCTACTGCTATTCAATTCGGAGATGCATCATGCAAACCAGTTTGATGGCCATCCCATGCCTAGTTCGTTTTTCCAACGAAGGTGATGTGTCAAAGACAAAACGGCAATCAAATGACACATAAAACGTTCATAAAAATGCACAAATATTTCGATATCATAGTAGTTACTAAACAAAATATTTTCCCCTTTCCGCTCCGCACGGCAACTGCCAAATTGAAAACAAGTACCAAGTACAAAGTACTTGTTTCCCATCACTATAATCCTTCAGCGACAGCGCCATCTATGCCGCACCCGAGACCATAGTGACGCACAAATGTGAGCGTGTGCACTTGCCGGTGTTTTCCGTAGTTATATGGGTGCATTAATATTCGGAGGGATGTATTATTTGTAGCATATTTTAGATATCAGCTATGAAAAACACATTTCTCTTATAACTAGTAGACCAAGTGGTTAACTGGTAAAGGACAGGTAAGGCATTACAGTATCTGAGCAGATAATTCAGAATTTAAGTGACCCAACGCTTGAGTGTCCTCTGCTATTGTTGTGCTCTTGCTTCTATGTTTACCTGATGCTACTTAATCACATATTTATCATGCTCACTTCCTAAAACCACATGATAATGTAGTGAGAAAAATAAGCTATTGCATGTGAATATAATACGATACCCAGGAGTTTGGGGCCAAGGAGGGTAGGATATCAATGTTCTACATCTTTATTTCTGATGTATCAGTATTCATTAAACAGGGCTATCTATGACATTGAACAATTATTGTAGCTCTGCAATAAAACTGTCATCTTCAACATTGGGCTATCAAAGCTGGGTAGGTTACGCGAGGGCATAGTTTCTGTCAATGACAGTTTCCTTGAAATATGCAAAGGATAAAACTTGCCAAATATCCATTAGAATCCATGCAAGAATTTTAAACATGTGTTTATCAGTGATACTATTTTCTTCTGCTTTTATTATATGAAAATGCTAAAAATTGCCAGTCTTCCTCAAACATTCAGGGATAGATCAAAAGAAGATACATGACCAAAAACCCATTACCAGTGTGATATTGTCACCTCAAAAAATTAAATATCTGTTTGCTCTTGATCATTTGTAAATTTCAAGGAGACTTACATGGTTATTAAAAATATGAATTCAGCCATAAGTCACCAAACTAATGACATTTTTAAGGATATCATTTAGTCTTTCAATTCCTAAAAGCCTGGCACAAATGTTTGTGTATTGAAAAGAAGTGTCTAAATTAATGGCTATTAGATGACACATAAACAAATCAGTTTTATCATATGTCTTAGGGAGTACATGGTAAACAACAGGGCCCTGTTTCACCGGTGATAGCAGCACGCTGCTTTTACACGTCAAATTGGGTTTCCATGGAAACATCAACAGGCCCATTGCTCCAACACTACCACAAGTGTGACGTCAGCTCGCGCAATTTGATAGCAGCGTGGTAGCAGCGTCCCGTGAAACACCGCCCAGATCTTATCACATAAATTGGACTTTAGTGTAAGTAGCGCGCCAAAAATAGGTGCGAAGAGAGTGCAACTGCATATGCTTCGACATTTATTATCCATGTGTAAGGGGAAATGTGTCAACCATGAAACATGTGGCCTACATTTTCAAACCTCAGTAATACAAAATGATAAAGGCACTAGAATATAACAGAAATGAATACGAGTTGCCAGATAAAAGACATAATTATTTAAAGAACTTTTGTTTTGAACACTAAAAAACAAAACAAGCTTTGATTTTTTTAGTGAATGAATGTGTCCAAATGTCTGGCGTCCCTCCGATTGTGACACGTGGAAATACCTTGTGAAACATTCCCGAGGATCCGAACGAGCATCTTCCGGGCAATTAACTCAGCCGTACTGTCTTTCACAGCTCGACCCGGCGGACTCCAGCAGCTGACCAGGGCATCGCCCCGCTGCGGACCGGAGCGCCGGGCTGAACCTGCCGCGGCGGCTCGCCGCCTTCACTGCCACAAACCATGGCCACAGAGACGGACATCGCCACGGAGGTGTCCCACTTCGAGTCGCTGCCGGCCGAGGCGTGGCTGGTGCGCTCCTGCGAGCAGTTCGAGGCCGAACTGAAGGAGTGCCGCCGACCCAAGGGCCGCTTCCACCAGTACTTCATCCACGGCGAGCTGGCCGACTGCTCTCAGTGGCGCGAGGACGTGGCCAACTGCTACCGCTGGCGGCGCAAGGCCGACCCGGAGGCCATGGCCGCGCTGGTCGAGAGCGAGCGCGCGCGACGGGACGCCCGGCTTGCGGCGCACAGGGCTAACACCGTCTGGGAGTCGCGGCCGGCGCCGCCCGACGGCTGGAACGGCCCGCTGCCCGAGCACCTCGAGCGGAAGCGGCAGGACTCCTTCCTGCACCGTATGCAGACTGAGGACGCGGCACGGGAGCGCGAGGGGAGTGATGGCGCCACCGCGCCGCCGCAGCCCCCAGAGACGCCCCAGCGTGCCCAGTGCGTGGTCCAGTAGTGCGATGATTTAGCCAAGTGTCGAGTGTGATGATTTAGCAGGTCAGGGCCCTGTCAGGGAGGCCAGACATGGCACGCGCGATGCATCAATTAGTGGCGCGTACCCGGTACAGACTACGTTGTGAACCAGGGACGTTTTATACGCAAAGATGCTGATACGAGGTAATATATGTTCGTGGCGCTCCTTTCAAACACTCTGGGTGAGAGCTATCATCGTGACGTCGAATATCGCCAGGATTTTGAACATTGGCAAATGGCAGGATTGGGGAATGCGGATAACTAACGATCCTAGCCATATGGATAGAATAACCAAGGAAATTCAGATTGACAAGACTTCGGACTTAAACCGGCAGCATTGAACATAATATCACAAAACGACATAAAATAATTTGGAAGATGGTCCAACATTCAAACTAAAACGTATTACATTCAGCACCGAATAGGGCCAACGTTGACATTGTAACTGTCGATAAGACGAACCTCATCCACTGACAACGCATTGTCGTTTCCGGATGGTCCCTGAAACCAGCAGGCTGCCTCGAGTGAAGATGCCTAGCATAACATCACCCGAGGAAGTGAAGTTTTTACGTGTGCATGCATTCCTCGGCAATGTAACGAATTTAACGTTTTATTGCTCGTCATTTAGACGTCCTGAATTGCTGATGTAATGCCCAGAAATAAGTTTTCTACCCAAAATTTCCTTCCAAAAGATTAAATCGAGATTCATCCATAGCCATCAGTTTACGAAACAGTTTAAAAGGACATGAAATCGTAGTTTAGCAGCGGCAGGAAACAAGCAACTCAACGTGGTTACTGACATAAAGAGCGCCATCTACCTCCCCTAAACGAGTATCGGCCGACTCTTACGCACCCGTCACCGAACGGGAAAAGGCACTAGCCGTCACTACTCACAGTGATACATGACGTATCCCGTACCCTGTTTGTTTGTTTGTTTATTAGGGCTTGAAAGTTCATTGTGACATGTATGACTAGATAAGTGAAACTTTTTTTAAATATAAAGGTACTGTATTGTAGAAAGCATTTGCAAACGCGTTTCGAATATATCTTCGTCAGTGCTAGCTTCCTATACGCGTTTGCAAATGCTTTCTATGATTAAGTACCTTTATCTTTAACCCACGAGCCGCTGGGGGGGGCATAAAGTTGCCCCCCCCCTTTACGTTTTGTGAAATATCTCCGAAACCTGATCAGCTACGAACGTGAAACTTGGCATAGCTTCAAATGAATACCTAGGCAATGTTTGAGGAAAGTTTGGTGGTTGTAGCACCTAAGATGACGTCACAGTGACGTCATAAAGTTTTGTCGTTTTCCGATATGGACCGTTTCTGATGACGCTGAGCATGAAACTCGACTGTAAATGAACTAGACAGCACCTGTTGTCATCCTAAAACATCTTACTACACTTCCATCTAGTTTCTGACCAATAATCGGCCCTTTATATTCGGTCCCATATATGTGATGTATCGTGAGGAATATGAGAGTCGCAAATCTATAATTTCACTTATGACGTCACTGTGACGTCATTTCAAATTGGATCGACACCAAATTTGGACACAACCTCGGCTAGGTATTCAGGAAGATGTGTGCAAAGTTTCGCTTCTCTATCTCTTCGCGTTGCGACGATATCGCCGTAGAAGTAAAGGGGGGGCAACTTTATGCCCCCCCCAGCGGCCGGCGGGTGGCGCGGAGGCCCAGCGGCCGCCGGGTTAAACCAGTATAACGCCTTTTGGGGCGACTAACGGAGCGAGCGAGAGGGTGGGCCTTGCACGTGCGAAATTTCGAGGGGGTACCTCCTACTGACTTGTGCACGGCACCTTACTAACCGGTCTCTAGCGATGTGCCAAATTTGAGCACAATCGGCCCAGCCGTTCTCGAGATCTGGAGGCGGCACCCTGCACGTGCGCACGTGCAAAATGGGTTCCAACTGACTTGTGCACGGCACCCTACTAACTGGTCCCTAACCGTGTACCAAATTTGAGCGCCATCGGTCCAGCCGTTCTCGAGATCTGGAAACGACCCCTGCACGTGCGCACGTGCAGCAGCACCCCAACTCTGGCACATGGATATGCAGTGCCTAGTGGGTGCCTACCTACATGCCAACTTTGAGCGCAATCGGCCAAGTAGTTACCGAGATATTGCAACAATTACAAAACTGACACCTCTTCGTTTTGCGCGTGGCACGTGCATAAGGGGTCACCCACATGCATCGGCAATAGTCCAATACTTGGTAGAAGGAATGAAGCTACCCTACAAAAATTACCCCGTGTAAATCGGTCAAGTGGTTGCTGAGATATAAGCCTCGCAAAAGCGTCCGCACGGCCGGCCGGCCGGCCGGCCGGCCGCTCATACTTAGAAATTTCCGTTAATCTAAGGAAAGACTACGCTCGCTTTGCTCGCTCCGTAAAAAGTTTCACTTATTTTTTAGGGCTTTAGGACGCGCCGACTGCGGTGGTTTGTTTGCGCCCAGTAACCCGTACCCGGCGCACTCCAATTCTCCTCCCGCCGCAGCTGCTGGGCGCGCACTCTCACCTTGTCTGAGGAGCGGTTCCATACGTGCACCTTGTGGCCCGAGTTCAGCAGGTTCTTGACGATGCCGGAGCCCATGACGCCCAGGCCGAGCACGCCGAAGCGCAGCTCGGACGGCTGGATGTTTTTCTGCTTCAGCGCCGCCGAGACCTGCTCCACGTCCAGCGGCGGCGTCTCCTGCGAACCGGGGTGCACTGAGTCAGAGACATGCGCGCTGCTATTGCTCTCGACCTGTTCTCTACGGTATTGTGTGAAATGGTCGCGTCGCTAGAAATCGCCTTTTTTGTCTGTCGTTGAAAAGTTTTCATGTAGAAACATTCTGGCCAATAATCACTGTTCAATCGAGTTGAAAACACCATGAATTCGTTCGAGTACATTAACGGTGAAACACGTAACGAAAGCCAAACCGATCATCGCGGTACATTTAGCTAAAAAGGAACGCCAGTGCTCAAGAAACAAAGTATTGAAAGCTATTTTTAGCTGAGCATTAAGCATGTGTTCTATATTTCACGAAAAAAAGAAACCGCAAAAAAGACGCATCAGTCAGAAGATCAAACCTCTAGACGTGGCTGCAACGTCACATTTTATCCCGATCCTCCCTCCCCTCCCTAAAAACTCGCCCTGTCCGTTCCCCGACCAGCCTCCACCACCTCGCCCCGGTACACATCCTCCCCCCCCCCCCACACACACACACTCAACTCCCGTCCACCCCCGACCCGTCCCGCACGTACCGGCCTCATGACGAGCGTGGGTCGGTCGAGGAGCGAGGCCACCCGCTTGGTGCCGGCCGTGCTGCTCGGTGCTGAACTGTGGTTGATGAGCGAAGTGAACGCGTCGCTCTCGTCATCGGTCTCCTTGGAGCGCTTGGCCGGACTGGGCGCGGGCGAAATGGTGGCCTCCGAGGCGATCCGCTTCACGGCCGGCTTCTTGTCCTGGCGAGCGGGCGGGGGTGAGAGATGTGGGATGGCGGAGGCGGTCAGTGGTCACAGTGCGAGGAAGGAACGGCAGTTGATAAAATAGATACCTTAAAAACTTTTTCAGCAATGGAATAATGAATGTAAAAACGGCACACACATTCTTCGATGACATAAGTAAATACAGAAAATGGGAAAGGCAACTTATCAACCAGTAAGTAGTAACTTCGCAGTGTTAACCCTCGCCCGTATAGGGAGGGGGGGGGGGGTCGAACGGACCCCCCCCCCATGGTTTTTCGCGAATAACTCGCGTAAAAAGCAGCCGATCGCGACGAAACTTTCAGTACCCTCGCGTTCATCAATTTCACACCTACCCTGAAAATTTCATGACCCTGACCCAAGTGACCTTTGACCTCTGACCTACTTTTCGAGACCATGTTTGGCTGGAATCGCGATTCGGCGTATGTCGGCTCGCATTAGCCGCGCGTTTGCAGTCTTTTCGTGGTTTCAAGCGTTCAAACATGTGATATGATGTTGCCTCCATGCATTAGGGTGGGTGTCAAGGTCACCTGAAGGTCAGGTCAGGTCATTGACCTTTGATGACCTCGGTTCACTTTTTCGAGTTTTACATGCTTCTAGGCCAGTTTTTGGAGCTGAATTCGAATTTAGCAACCATATGAACATTTACGAAGTAGTTTTGGTGCATTCGTAACATGTTACGAAGCTGTCAGAGGCGGTTGCCACATACTACGAATACCCTTACTGGTTGACCTGACCTGACCTGACCCGACCTGGCCTAAATACATGAAGACATCATCTGTGATCAAAACTAACATGATATTCGTGATCAGCACCCCGAAAAACCGCATGGCAGCCACACTTTACGACGTTCTAACAGGTCCCGATTTTCCCGCCTTTGGGGTCATTGACCTGACCTGCAAGGTCAACCAATGACCTAGGACCTTAAAATTGGGTATCATCGGCTTCCTCTCGTCACGGGCAACACGCTCGTTTTTTTCCGCGAAGCTCTAGCTCGATCAGGGGCGAAACGGCAGGGGGGTCCAACGGACCCCCCCCCCCCCTTATACGTTCGCGGCTGGAAAAAAACACCAATACGGGCGAGGGTTAAGCCTCAGGAGTGAGCATTCATCTGAAAATATTTTCTAACAAAGTACAAACATAGGCAAGAGCACATTCAGTTAACCATTGCTCAATCATCACGTTTCAGACATACCTTTGCTTCCTTGGGCTTCCTTTTCTTTGCGTTTTCGGCGCCGGGCCTATCAGGAGCCGTCTTGTTTGATGCTTTATTGGCTGCTTTGCTGTTTGCTTTGCTGGGCTTGCCGGTGGTTTTGGCGGTTTTGGAGGGCTTTTTCTCGCCGGCCGCGGGCAGCTCGTCGTCTGACTTGCTGTCTGATTCCGGCGAATCCGGCGCCGCCTCCTCGCCATTGCCTTCAGGAGGGCTGTCATCCTCCTCCTGAGAGGCAACAACAAACGCCATCACTCCTATGAAGTTTAAAGGTGGTAGCTAGCAAAATTCCTTGAGAAAACATCCCAAAGTATTCTGGTTATCAAAGCACAATATGTTTCTGCCGCCTTCTATGTTCAGGGTATGTACAAATAACAAAGTCGCCCTTTAATAATAGCTAAGTCCCTGATATTCATTAGCTCTACTGATGTCTCAGAACTAATTAATTACCCTTCGCCCCAGTGGGGGGGGGGGGGGCATATGTTACCACCCTGTCGCGTTTTTTTTCGTATAAATAAAAAACCGCGGCGCGTAGCGCCGCGCCGCTTGGGGTAGCTTTTGGTACATCAATTTTGGACAATGTGTGAAATTTTTGACCCCAGGTCATGTCAGGTCAGGTCACTAGGTAGTAGGTCAAGTTAACTGACCAAGCCTAAAAAAGTTTGCAATCATGTCCAGCCTACAGTGTTTGTCAGAGAGGTTTCAAACTTGGTGGATTACATGATGTTATGGGTGCCTACAATTTGTATATCTCGGATTTTTTATATGCGTGACCTAAGGTCAGGTCAGTGGCGTGACCTTTCCATTATAAGTCAATGGAGAAAAACGAAAATGCCTCTAGATCCGTGTGTACGCATAGGAACAGTCCAAATATTTCAGGATAGCAATGATTTGGACCACCCGTGACGACCAAGGTGTCTTTTTTGCTGATAGCCTCTTGAAAGGTCATCTGAGCTCATTTGAGGCTACAAACAGTTTTTTGCCAATAACTCTCGATTGGAAAGAGATAGAACGCTGTGGTTGGCCTCATTGTGTTTGTCTTGCCGAGACGCATCGACTGATATGCAATATTACCTTTTCCGGTCAGGTCATGACCTTGACCTGAGGTCAAATTTTGAAGTTGACCTTTCAAGGTCAAATTATAGTTCATTCGACGCGTCTCGGCGAGAGGAACACGATTCTGGCATTAGAAATGACCTAGTTTTTTTTTTTAGTCAAAAGTTATTGTCGAAAAACACTTTTCTTAAAAACAGCTATTTTTGGAGTTTTTGCCCTCTGGAGGCTAAACCGTTGACCTGAGGTCATTTTTGATGATGACCTTATCAAAAGAAGAGTTCAAAAGCTATCGATTGCTTTTCCTAGCGTTTTTCTAGCTATCATAGTTCCTGAGATAATGGCGTGTTTTCTGAAAAATATAATGACAATTCGCAAATTTTGACCTTTGATGACCTCTGGTGACCCCAATATTGCTCTAAGATGAAAAATGGCTGAAATACTTTCAAACGTACGCATCAAGAGCTATCGAATGCCTTTTACCGCGTCTTTCTAGCCCTCTTAGTTTTTGAGTTAGAGGTGGGTGGTAACATATGCCCCCCCCCACTAGGGCGAAGTTGGCGGAGACCGCCACTGGGGCGCGGGTTAACCTTGTCATCTATGAATGGCAACAAAGTCAAGCCAAAGGAAGACATGAAGTGATAAGACTTGAGCTAAACACATAGGTACTTACAATTCCAAGTTCCCTCTTCCTGAGGTACTCATCAATCACAGACAATGCCTCCTTAAATTGATTTGACTTGTTGGCTTTGGTGAGCTTTTCTCTGTGTGGGATGAATGGTTTGATAAATTGTGTCTCGATGAATGCACTGAAAATCAAGAGAAATTGTGTTAAATTGTGCTGACAATGAATATGGCAAACAAATGGATTCATAGCATAAAAACAATGATGCTCTGACTTGACATTTCAGCAAAATAAAAGCAAGACAAATTTCATGTGGGACCAATTGTGACTACTTTCAAGCTTAGTCATGTTAAAGTGATGGCTGATGAAAGTCAACACATTACACAAGCTACACTCAAATGATGCCATTAACTTAAACCATTGGGGTAGAGTTCTGTGATTCCATCTGATAAATAATTTTAGAAACAAGTCATGAAATGAAATATATAGCTTAAAACTCACTAGTTTTCTGTTCCAAAGAAATACACACAATAGCCCTTTTTCTTGGATGGAGTTTTCAAGTGATCTGGTGCAACAGCAATCTGGAAGAGAAAAAGAAATCATTTTCAGCAAAATCAAACATTAAAAGTCACTGCACTATCTGTCACTTCACTTCATATGGCACCTGTTATTGATTTATGAGTACATATATTAAATCTTTAGTCAGTGGTATTTAGTATTAACTGTGAATAGCACACACTGCAAACCCATTCATGTAGTTGTCAGACACCATTCAAATACATGTTCCACGCAATGAGTAAAATTAACAGCGTTATCATTTTTAATGCTATTCATTTAGTGATATGCATACCTTTCCAGGCCATGGAGAAAAACCCTTCAGCTTGGCCCTGTACAGAAAAGACAAAAATAAACATGTTAGAAGTCCATCACATATTCACATATGTCTGGGGCATAGAATAACAAAAGGCACAAAAATAAATTGCTTGGTGTGGCAGTAGGATTTAGAAAGAAACATAATTATCTACCCCTTAAACATTCTAACACAAATTCAAAACATGAAAAAGAAAAGCAACAAAGTGGTAACTGGTACCGTACCAGCACCCACCTACCTATGCTTTAAAATTACCATTCATGCTATAAAACATAGCTCTGCATAAGTAACCCTGCTACATAATTCCATTCAATAATTCAAGTCAAAGCCATTCCAGCACGATTTTGTGGCATGTTTTGATGTTAACGAATCACAGCAAGGATCGCGGAATTTCTATGCAAACATGCCAGCATGTTATTTCAGCTTTTCTGATGTATTTTAACCTCTAAAATATTCGTGGATTTATTATGGATGCTTGATATATAGCAGGATCATTCAAAAACTGGTCATATCACAAATTCTGAAGGCATAACTTGTATAACCACATATGTAACAAGGTCGCCATTGTTGCCTCAATCGACGTTGTCGCAAAATAACGGAGAGCTTACAACGATTAAACGGCCATCAGGATTCAAAAATGATCATATATAATATTTAAAATATTTCAAACTGATCTCTACGTGATATATTTAATAACTACATACCATACAGGGTCACCGACTGAGTAACCACCCTCCGCCATGTTTTGAGACAAGCAATTTGAACAAAGTAGAGATGGTTCGAAGAGCAGCAGCACATTTTTTGTTGGTACTTGCTTGACTGAACTCAAAAATCGAGGATTATTTCGCCTTTGTTTTTGCTGGTAAAGAGGTTAAACAAATAAAATATTGCTTTCAAACACTCATAAGTATCTCTTTAACAAATATAAGGCCTCCTATTAGGGTGGAATGCTTGGTAGGATGACAAGAGTAGCACGTTTCTCTATTTTAAAACCAACGCCGCAAAACAACGCCGATCTTTTGCGGCGAATTTGACAGTTCAAGTTTATTGTCTTCAGGGAGTTTGTACGCGAGTCTCTCTCTTCAAGTTTTAACAATTTTAAATGTTAAGTGCATCATTTAGTATGCTTGTTTCCTTCAAGTTCTGAGTGGCTGGCTGGACTATCTTAAAATCCGTTCTTATCCACTGAGTTGCAGTTCAAGTTGTCATCACAGGTAGGAAGGTAGGTAGGTACCTACGAATTTTCATAGATATCAATATTTAATTTAATAAGCTTTTCCTGTAATCAATGTTTCAAATGTCTATGGAAAGGTGACATGCCCTTTTTATTGCCATTTTTGCTGGGCTTCTGATGACTATTTGAATTTTGTTACCTACTTATCGGTAGTCGGTAGAGGACAAACTAATGGTCGCACAGCTGGTCCGAGTGACTTGTTTTTGCCGCTACTCCACAGCTGATAACAGAGTTATGAAACTCGTTCTTACCAGCTGAAACATTGTTACCAAGGGCACATATTTTATGTAATGATTTGTGGCAACACATTTTACTCCCCCAACCTCAAAAAATTGAAGTGTGATATGAGTGATATCAATGTTTGTAATGTGTTCTATTGCAGTGTATGCCTATCAATTATCAGCATTGTAAATTGAACCTGTTATTGGCATTTGCTTAGCAGTAGCAAACTCTTCTTGACTGTTTTAGTGACCCACATCACATCATTTTAAGGTTGTCTTTTGCTTTAGGTACAAGAAGACAGTTCTTAGGCTCTCCTAGTCAGGATTCCTGGACCTTCATGTTAATGCATGCTATCTGTTTCAGTCTGAGCTAGCAAAGACTGGTAAATGAATGGTTATCCATTGGATTTCTGGCTGGGACTTTGGTTTGAATGAACTGTTGAGTGTTGGCCAGGTGTCAGGTGGTGCAGAGCAGAGGCACATTGCCGGCCCATGGCAGCTGGTTTCATGACATCTGTCTACAGCTTAGGCCCTCATTAATGGCCCCAGCTATCTGGGCACTGAAAACCCCAACTCATTGTATCTTTAACTCTTCAGAGGTGCCTCTAGGCATTAAACCCAATGCTGCATTACCCTATCTTATCTCAGTTTAAATTTCCAGATCCTGTTTGATGGAAAAAGTGAACATTCTTGCCTACCTTTCTGTGAACTTGACCTGCCTAACGTATATTAAAATTTGGATGCCAATTGCCCTGCAGGGAACTTTTATGTCTTGCTCACGACATAAAGAACTTACTTGAAAGCTGATTTTTTAAAATGTGATGTTTAAGTGTAATTTATGTAAGTATGTCTATGGCTCAAAATTCTTATTCAGCAAACTTTTAGCTTCTACCAAGATATTTATATTTTTATGAATGATACCTATGCAACTGGGTCCTTTTGTTGACTGTTCACTTCTTGTTGGGCATTGGCTGAACAGATTGATAGCTCACTGCTCAGTGATGCCCTTATTAAGAAAGTTGTCTTCTTTGCATATGAAAACATTTTGTGCAATGTATTGTTTTGCCCAAAATACAAAACTCATGGAAAACATTGCCAATAACATCTGTAGAAAAAGATCATTTCACAATGTTAAGTTCACATTCTTGATGTGAGTCAGTTTATGTATTTGTTTTTTTTTTTATTTCATGGTGGCAGAAATATGGTGAAAGACTTTATCAGCCCTTGAAATAAATGTTTTTCATCTGAACCATTCTGTTTTCTACGTTTTAATCGCCGTCTTGTGGGCTGCCTAACGCGACCGGTGTGTGTGGTTTGTCGGCAGCGTGTGGCCATGTGGAGCGCAGACGGCGCCGGCGGCGACTCAGCCGACTGGGAGCTGAGCAAGGAGAATGTGCAGCCGCTGCGCCAGGGCCGCCGGCTGGACGTGCTGAACAGCTCACTCCAGCCGGCAGCGGACGACCAGGTGGCGCAGAAGGTCGCCGAACAGCGCAGGTCAGCGCCAGGGAACTGTACCGGGCGTGTTTGGAGGGAGTCCGGGCAGGGTGCCGAGGATGGTGTGGTGCGTGTATAGATGTAAGTATAGGTAGTGTTTACCTTTTATCCGTGGTTGTAGGGCTGTTAAAGGTCAGGTGGCTTCGGAGCCCGGCTGAGCGTTACGGCTCCCGAGGCGGGAGCCGAGTCCCGCCTCTCCGAGTGAACTATACCAGCGGCTCCGGTTTCGGTTCTGGATAAAATGTGCCGCCCTTGGCGGCTATTGCTATAGTTCTGAGTGAAATGTGCACCCACTCGGTTCGTTCTGTGGTGGCTCTCACTCCTATGACTGGCCACTGCTCACATCTGAATCTCTCTCAAGACATATTTGAAAGTACAAATGAGACGGAGACAACGCGGTCGCTATACGGTCGTTGTGAACTGTAAATGAGAAACCGACAGACAGAGGCATTGAAATAATACATATGAATGTTCTTCACCATACCATAAGCTGCTCAATTTTGTATTTTTTCATGCTTGCCTATATGTGTGAGTTGTATGTGTGTGTGTTGTATTGAGTTCACACTACGCCATACACAGTAGTCAGTGCTGTGCCGAGCCGATCTTTCATATCTTTTAACGTTTCCTCCCGCCTCCTGATGCCGCCGCAGGTCCTTTGAGCTGGAGATCCGTACGTACACGGGCGACGACCCTCTGTCTCCCTGGCACCGCTATGTGCTCTGGATGGAGCAGCACTGCCCTCGCGGCGGACACGAGGGCAACCTGGACGGCCTGCTCACGCAGTGCATCGCCCGCTTCACGGCCGAGAAACGCTACCACCAGGACCCGCGCTTCGTGGCGCTCATCATCAAACAGGTGCGTGTGGTCACGAGGCTGCCCGCTGCTCCGCCGACCGGAGTGGGCTGCTGAACTGGGTGTTTTGCTTGCAGCGCTGGCCGACTCTTGCAGCTGTTCTGTAACATATCCACTATCCAGGGGTTTTGTATTTCTGGGAGTTTTTATGGCTTGTTTGGAGTGATTTTGGGATTTGCGTTTGCCGTGTGGGTAGTGATACAATTATAGCACCCACCACCAGCATGCACGTGATCTCGGTCCCCGCTTCGACGGCCCGTCTACCCGGCAGGCTCTGAGCACCCAGGATTCGCTGCCCATGTTCAGGAATATGTTCAACCGCGAGATCGGCACGAAGCTGACCATGTTCTACCGCGCGTGGTCGGCCCAGCTGGAGCTGGCAGGTACCGTATGGGTCCGGTTTGTCTCGGGTAGGATAGACCGGTAACGGCCGAAAGGCGACTAATTTCCGCGGAGATTTGATGATGGTGTGTTGTTTGGAGAGATGTGGTTTGATGATAATTGGTTATTAATTGGACCGAATATATACTAGGGTAATATTAAAATATTATATTTACTTTAACATTATTGGAACTCACGATGTCCCAGTGGACACAGTCACTGCAAAAACTGGCAAAATAGGTGACAAGGAATAAAGACAGTTGGAAACCAATAAAACATGAGTAAACGCACCTAGTCAGGTTATCCCTCTAACTACACGCCGTGCCGCCGTCTAACCCTGCCTCCTCTCTCGGCCGGCAGGTAAGATGCTTCAGGCCGACTTGGTGCTGGCCGAGGGCGAGCGACTCGGCGCCGAGCCGGCCGATGAGCTCGCCGAGGCGCGGCGCAAGCTGCAGACCCGCGTGGCCAGCGCTCTGGCCGCCGGGCAGCTGCCGGCGCAGACGGCACAGGTCGCCCAGATCGGCCGCAGCGGGGCCGATGAGCGACACGCGCTCGGCGCGCTCCGAGGTGGGTGAGGGAGCTGTAGGGAGGCCTGCTGGCGCTGGTGGTTTGAGCTGATAGTTCTGGGTGCTAGTTGTCGTTGGTATTGTTCTGAATCTGGACTTCACCAGCTGCTATCAGGCAAATATCTGTTGTTTTTCATAGAGAAAATATTAACAATTAGTTAACAAAAAGCTCGGTGACTTATACGGTACGATTCCACAGTTTTTACGTTGTCCTGGTTACATTATTATTGTCCTATAAACGACTATTTTGACTCCTGACGACCACTGTTTCGCGACGACCGGACGCGCTCTTCAGCCCCCGTAACAATTAACCATCTTGTGCATTGTTTCCCACCCACTGCGTGTGGCCGTCTCCCCTGAGCACGACTGGCCTGACGGAGCCCCGTGTGCCGCCCGCAGGCTCCGCTGACGGCATGGTGCCGCGGCAGCGGGTCGGCGCCGTGCAGGCCGGCGGGCCGGGCACCCTGCCCATGGCGGCGCCGGCCGCCCACCTGCCGCGCCACAACCAGCGCCTCAAGGTGTTTGTCGACGAGAACGCCCCACAGACGGCCGTACCGACGCCGGCCCCTCACGGCACGACCACCGAGCTACCCACCGGGCGAGCCATGCATAAAGAGAACGTGCGGAAGGCGGGCCCGTGGGGGGCGCCGCAGAAGGCCTCCAAACGGCCGACTCCGCCCGGCGGCCCGGCAGCGCCTGCTTTTAGAGGTATGAAAGGACCAGGACAGGGCGCGGGAATGGGTCCTGGTGAAGCTACTGTGATTTCTGCACTAACGATCTTCATGAACTATCCGACCATTTTATTCTCATTTTCGGAGTCCATACTCCATAATGATTTGGTTATTGAACATCGTCCAAATTTATCAGAACTATGCAGGTATCACTTTTTCTTGTGCTGGTGTACATGAAGTCCGTGAGTCGCCCTCATTGACCTCTGAACCGACCTGACCTTTGGCAGTGTTCGAGGACAGCGGGGCGGGCGCGGCCACTGGCAGTCCCATCACCATCAAGCAGGGCGCGCTGGCGACCCGCGCCGCCCCCGCCCCGGCCCCGGCCGGCGGCCTGGACAACATTCCCGTGGCGCACTTTGAGCCGCCCAATGACAAAGTGAAGGTCATGTACCACAAGGAGCTGGTGAGTGCGGCAGCGGGTCGCGCCGACACCTAGCTGGGGGACGGGAGGTGCATTGAATGAGGTGGTCTTTGACTTTGGTACTGATTGAATATGTCGTTGCATACTAGGCATACGAAAATGGTTCTGTCGGTATCGGGAAAAAATCGGCAAGATGCTATAACGCCAACATTGTTTGTAACCCTGAGAGTATGTTAGACGATGCTAGATTTTTGGTGATATGAATCTCTTTTACTCTATGTTTCTCAAGCTACCTTTTAGTTTTATGTCGCTATTGCCGCGGTCTGGCCCCTGACCGTGCCTTTACCGCCGTCAGATTTATACTGGTGCTAGCGAGGTGTCCTTTGAGGAGCTGAGGGCGGCCAGGTGGAAAAAGGACAACAAACTGCGTAAGTAACGCATCACTCAGGGTCTGCAGTAGATGTTAAATAAAACACCTGATCCTATGCTAGCGAAATGGTTGTACGATTTACTTTCTGTTTGTGTTGAATCATTTCGCTCTACGAAAGTTGAACGAGCATATTGTAGAGCGGGTACCTACACGATTTCGGCTTATGGTCGCTACGATTCCGCTGTCTGGAAGTGGAATCTACGATCAATTTTTAGTTCCCAAAGTGAACTCGTGACTTCTATTTTTTATTTACATATAAAAGCGATGAACGTAAATTATGACCCAGTAGACGACGCGCCTCCAACCTCTACTTATGAAGGCAAGGAAGTTTGCCAATTTGCTCTCATATACTAAATGTAATCCAGCTCGCCAACAATGACGTTTGCACAGCGGGCCCATCAAAATTCAATACCCAACCAAATATTGTGACACCCCTTCCCCCTCATCCACCAGTGCTGGAGCAGCGCCGTATGCACGAGGAGATGAACCGTCAGATGCAGGAGATGATGCGCCGCAACTCTGAGCTGGAGCGGCAGGTGCTGGAGCTGCGCGCCCGGCCTGCCCCGGCGCCGGCTCCGTCGCTACACGGTTCGCTGGGCCTCTCCAACGTCAGTGGAGGCTCGTCCAGTCTCGGAGGAGGTGGGTGAATGGGATGGGAGGGAGGAGGTAGGGTGGGAGGTGAGCGAGGATATAGAATAAGGAGAGAGCGGGGAGAGGAAGAGTGTTGACGGACAGGAGCTAGAGAGGGGCGAAGGATGTGATGCATGATGGGAGGGAGGAGGCGGGACCAGGAGGGGGAGGTAGTCTGTTTAGTGGTAGTTGGTAGCTGGCTGGATAGAGTATGGTAATGTGATGGCTACTGCATGTTAACATTTCCATGATACAGTCTTACAATCGCTCTCGTTTACTGGCTCGCTGTCGTTGAAACACTCTCGTTACTTGATAAATAGTTGTTAAAAAAAATGACTGATCTCGTCTCCCTGGCCGTTCAGGACACAGCAACCTGTCGGGCTCGACGGTACTGGCCTCTCCGACGGTCAACACTCGCGACGCGATGAACTACGTGCGCGAGGTTATGAACAGAACTGTGGACACGTCCGTGCAGCTGCCAATGCGCCACGGAACAGGTGAGTCGCAGAGCGCTGCCGGTGGGAGGTCGGGCAGGGATGGTGGGTGGGGATCGTGGTATTTGGTGGAGCCCTGCCGTAGGCAAGTTTAGTGCTTTGGTACCTATGTCTATGCTGCTATGCACTTTTGCTTGCTTGCTATGCTGGTATTGCTGGTGTGCTGGCGTGTCGTGAAGCTGGATGGTTTGATGTCGGCGTGTTCCAGCACCATGTAACCGCAGCTGACCGTTTGTGACCGTTGTGTCGCCAGTGCCGGCATTGCCGGCCGCTCCACCGTTCACTGTCTACGAAGAGCCCGAGTCGATGGTAGGGGAGCGTCCGGCGGCGCCCGCCCCCGCCCCCGCCCCCTTCTCCGTCTACGAGGAGCCCGAGGCCGGCGCCGCGCCGGCCGCCCAGGAGGCGCCTCCCGCCGCCGCCGCCGCCGCACCATTCGCCGTGTACGAGGACGACGCCTGCGCCCGGCCGGCCGACGACGGCGACGACGACTCTGACCGGGAGAACCGTCCCCCGGCCGACTGTCCGCCGCCGCCGCCGCGCCGCCGGCCGCCGCACGTCCTCGTCGACGCCGTGGACATCCCGACGGAGCCACTGGGCGCCGAGGAGCCGGACCCTGCTCCCAGCGCTCCGCCAGCGCGCCGGCCGCTCCAGTTTGACGACGAACTGACCGGCTTCGTGCCCCTGACTGATGATGTGACGATCGCCGCCGGAGACCTGTCGCAGTTCGCGGCGGCGGCCGGCCGCGTCGCCTCGACACCGTTCGCGCCGCCGCAGCCGCCCTCGCCGGTCGGTGGGCGTGCCAGGCAGACGGAGGAGGACAGCGACTTCACGGCCAACCTGAGAAAGTGGGTCCGAGGGGGACGACAGGCCGGGTGGGGCTTTATTCTGCTCGCGTGAGCTGGTGTGTTTTACTACTTCAGCTTACTTGCTTACGGAAAGTTCGCGTTACTGGTGTACATTGCAATGGCTGTTATTTGTATATATTCGAACGAATGACAGCAATTATACAATCCTAAAATTTTTGGATTGTATGATTGTTGTCATTCGCGCGAATATATACCTTCATGTCTGTTAGTTCACAATGGCTATTATCTTTGCTTATCATGGAGCATATGATTAAATTATATGTGGAGTGATTACAAACTTGTTCAGCTCCAAAGCCAAATAGAGCAACTTCTGCCTGACCGTCGAGTTTTCACATGTGGTAGCATGCGATGTTCCGGTCGCGGTCGGGCAGTGTGACCTCGCTCTAACCCGGGACGTCCGTGTTGCAGTGTGCGTATCGGACGTAATGCGCAGGAGCGCTGGGCCTCGGAGCGAGTCCTGCCCTCGGAGGGCGTCCAACAGCTGACGCCGATCATGGAGCGCTCACGTGAGTTATCCCCCGTCCCTCCCCCCGTGCTAGTGGTCTCCGCCGCGGCGAATCCCCGTTCCCCTTCTGTGCTGTGGTATAATGTCGACTTGTAACGATTTATACTAAACCGTCAAGGAAATGTGATGCCGAAAGTTGTGTGTGCTTTCTGGAAAACAGAACATTTTTGTAGATAGCTGGGAGTTCAAGCAATAAACATGTTTTAATGTCAATTCCCTGACTGTCGAATGTCTGTTTATCCCGCCGCCCTGGCAGTGTGACTCCCCCGCGGCCCGCTCTCCACCGCTGACCGTCGTGTTCTCTTTGCCCACAGACGACCAGCGCTCGTCGAGCGCCAGCGGCAGCAGCGGCTCGGATATGTCGCGCCAGTCGCGCGGCGACGTCTCGGCGCCGGTACGTGGACGGGAGTTGACTGCGGGGATTTTTCTTTTTTTGTTCAATGTATTTACGGACAATTCCAAGTGCTGGCTTACTGTTTGGTCCGAGTCAGAATACACAAGGGCACAAGGGTAAAATAGGAACACATCATATGATAAAAAAATCACTAAAATACAGTATACAGGGTTGGGCAGATAAATTGGGACAAAATACATATTTGCATTCAGAACGCCGTAGCTTAGAAATTTGTAAAAGTAGGCATTTCAAATTTGGATCACATATTGTCACACCAATTTTACACATTTATCACCAAATATGATCACTGTGGTCCACCTGCATCAGTCCTTATCGGTGCCTGGACTGGCCGCACGCGCGGCGAGATCTCCCTTCTGAAATGGCTCGTAATTGTAGCCAACTGGCACTGCTGAGACTCACCACAGTCACATGGGGACGTTCGTTAGACTCGGCCGCAAAAACGCCCCAGCAACCAGAACTTGTGTGGGCTGAGGTTTAATGAGGGAGGGGCCATTTAGCCTTGGGTACAGTTTCCGGGATCCTCCGTTTCAGGAGATTTTGTATTTAATTTACTGTATGCCGGGGAGCTGACTCCTCGAAGAGCATCACTCCATGCAGGATGATGCCTTCTTCCATCTTGTTGATTCGAACTGCCGGAATAATGGTTAGGTACGCTGTAAGGGCGAACCTCCTCCCGATTCCGTAAAATAAGGGGGCCCCACGTGGCCGTCAGAAGTCACCGAGTGGAATGCCATCACCGAGGTCTGCTGCATGCTTTTTGGAACTAAGATCACGTCTTCTGGGCTGGTTGCGATGTTTCATGGTGTTTGCGGTTGTTCATATGTTCGGTTATGAGGATACCATCGTCGAAAAAGACCTGCACGTGCTTGCTCGCTTCTCCAAAGCCCTTCAAGAGGAAACAATCTTTTTAACGTCACAGCTGCTTCAACATCTATGTTAACAGGTCGATATGCATCAATGCATAAGAGTATATGTTTGAGGTGCTGGTATATCTCTTTCTCATGGCGCGGCTACCTTCGTTGTAAGCTCGCGCCACTGTTTTCGCGAGGATCCTCTGATTTAACTGAATTTTGCCTTTTAGCCCCCCTGGAAAACCGGGGGAGCGGCCGGTGTCAATGCAATAAGTATGTAAGGATGAGTCAACATCATCTCTTCCTCCAACGTTTACGTCTGTTCGATACACACTACTTTCAGCCATTTGATGGAGCATAATTAGAGTATTGGCATGCATGTGGGCGCGGACTAAGTTGATAGTGACTTGCTTAAGCCCACGTTCTGTGATCAGCCGATTCAAAATTACAACGCAACCTGCATAACATCGAAAAGTATTCATTAGCCTATATTTACGTTCAAAAATTATCTTAATCACTCAAAAAATAGTCGTTTTAGAGGAAGTTGAAATTTGTCCCAATTTATCTGCCCAACCCTGTATGTACAGTTGCCGACCATCCTCACACAATACAGCTAAAGCCGACGCAGAAATTCGGCGCGGGTCCCAGAGCCAGTGACGGCCGGCGACAGTAAGGATTGATGTCCGGCTGCATTGAGTGGGCGGCGGATTCAGGGCTTGAGTGGCGAGTGCTGGGCGGTGCTTAGAGAGATGATCACTTGATCAGCGGGCCGCCGTGGTGGAACGGTAGTGGTGTTGGTGCCAAGTTACTGTAAATACTGGGTCACTAAGACAATTGCTCACTTTTAAGGGTTGCAAAAGCTTAGGAATCGAAATGCACTAATGTTGGAATTTTGTGTCAACCGTTCATAGTATTTTGGCTGGTTTTGGCGCAATATGCAAGTGCCGTTTATTTAACTGCCAGCGAATTGCGAGAGCGTGTCTTCACTTTCGGTATCCATAGCATTGAAAAGTACGCTAGAAACGGTCAGTAAGCATTTGGACCTCGCACGTGCTTGGCACACGCTGTTCTTTTTCTGGTTGTGCTAAATCCTGGGTGTTTCTTTATCTGAATGTGCTTTCCAACGCTATCCTCTTACGTGTCACACGGCCGGCCCTGTCAGTATGTAATGACCTTCGCCGTGGTCCTCGCCCTAAACCCCAGTTGATCGCCGTCCTGGCCGACAGATGGGCGGTCAGCAGTGGCGCCAGCGGCTGCCGTCGGGCGCCGACCGGTCGCAGCACCAGCAGTCGGGCCGCGCGCCGCCGCCGCCCCAGCTGACTCAGAGCTCCGGCTACCTGGGCGACCGGTCGTGCTCGGTGCGTCCGGCCTCGGCGGTCGGCGGGGCGGTAATCGACTGCAGCATGTCGCGCCGACCGGACTCGGCCGACGCCAGCGGTCTGCAGGCGCCGGACGTCAGTATGGCGGCGCCGGCCGTCTCACCCAACAGGAGCGCGCTCCGGCCGGCAGAGCTGAGCGAGAAGGCCGCCGAGCTCAGCCTGGCGCCGGCCGCCGAGCTCAGCCCCATCCAGCCGCCGGAGCTGGCGCCGGCTCAGCCGCCCGCTGAACTCAGCGGCTTCCAGGCGCCGGAGGAGCTCGGGACCAGCCAGCCGCCCGCAGAGCTCAGCGCCCTCCCAGTACCGGCGGCTGAGCTCAGTGAGTTCCAGCCCCCGGCAGAGCTGAGTGGGTTCCAGCCCCCAGCAGAGCTGAGCGGGTTCCAGCCCCCGGCAGAGCTGAGCGAGTTCCAGCCCCCAGCGGATCTGAGCGACCCCCAGCCACCGCCGGCGGCCGAGCTCTCAGCTCTGACGCTGACGGAGACCCCGGCGCCGGCGGTACCCGAACATCCCGACCCCTGGGACTCCACGCTGCAAGAGAACCTGCTGAAGAGCCTGTCGCGACCCGTCCAGACCAGACGCTGCTACAAGAGACTAGCGGGCAAACTGCCCAGCTTCTCGCGCAAGGAGATCGAGATTGGTGAGATAAATATTGTGTAGGGATGAGCTGGTGGGTGTTACACAATTAGGTGATGGGGGAAGCTGGGGACAACGAACGTCCATAATCTCAGCTGTTTGTACGAGTACCGTGAAATGCTGTCTCGTGCATCAGATGATATTTGAGGAATAATGGCAAATGTTCTCTGCGATTTTCTCTGTTTCTTGTTCAACTTTCGATACTTTTGTCTTTTATCTGGCTTCAAGTCTAGTTTCTTTTCTTTGGTCATGGTACGGTACACCTGAGTCCTCTGACCCCCCCCCCCCCCTTCGCGCCCCGTCAGACGGCCAGCGGCTGGCGGTGACTCTGATCGGCGAGGGAGCGTACGCTCGCGTCTACCACGCCATCGACCGCGAGACGGGCACCGCGCACTGTCTGAAGGTGCAACAGGATGGCGGCGACTGGGAGTTCTATGTGATCGACGAGCTGCACGAGCGGCTGGCCCGTGACGCGGCAGAGGTGAGGGGAATGAAAGGGAGAGAGGGGAGGAGAGAGAGAGAGAGAGAGAGAGAGAGAGAGAGAGAGAGATAGAGAGAGAGAGAGAGAGATACAGGCAGGCAGACAGACAGACACAGCCAGACAGAAACTAGAGTAGGGTTCCTGAATGAGCTAGAGACCATCTAGAGACAACCCGGCTTCTTTCAAGTACCATTCTAGTGATCCAATATCCAACACATCTACCTCCGTTAGAGTCTGGTCATGGTGTCACCAGACTTGTGCCGCCGACGCGCGTCTCCCTCCTAGTCAGATGTCCAGTGACGATGGACTGACGTGTCTGGCGCCACCCACAGAATCCGTTCCTGATGTCTGTGGACCGGATGGTGGCGTTCGATAACGGCAGCGTGCTGAGATCAGACTACCAGAGGGCTGGCACGCTGCTCAACGCCTTCAACAAGGTCTCAGCCATGGTGAGTGGACCCTGGCTGCTCCCCCGCGACGCAACAGTGGACGACTGGGGCGCAGAGCACAGGACGGGCTTCTAGTTCCAGTGAACAGCTTACTTTGAGGGATATCAAGCAACGTCGAGTGAGGCAATCTTTTTTTTAATATTCAATCAGGCAATGTCACTGAATGTCGGGACTTGGAAGGTAACTTCGCTTGAAGTGTCATTGTGTTCGACTTGTAATTTATATCACGTCATGCATACATTAATGACGACACATTCTAGCGTGGTCTGTCATCACGTCTTTATATTCTGACGTCCTCACTGTATCTCGTTTTTAATCTCGTCGTCTCCCCCTGTCTGTCCGACAGTATGGCAAGTTTGACGAGGGTCTGGTGATGCTGTTCACCGCCGAAATGCTGGGCGCAGTGTCAGCCGTTCACAGTGCCGGCCTCATCCATGGCGACATCAAGCCGGATAACTTCCTGCTGCGTGGCGGGTAAGCTGGGCAGACCGGGGCGAGAGGATGTCAAAGCGCACTGGATCGATGAGCTGCATGGCTGTACTGGTTTGAAATGCTCTGTGTTTTGTTAACGTCACTCTAAGGGAAGTGTCACCGTTTTAGCGTTTTGTCGTGCCGCCCGTGCCCAATATTGACGGAATGGCGGCACAACAACCTCTTACCGTCTCCCTTGCCCGCCGTTCCCTGGCTCCCAGCGAGCTGGAGGACGTCGGCCGCCTGTTGTTACCGTCCCCCATGTGTGCCCCGTTCCCAGCGAGCTGGAGGACGTCGGCCGCCTGGTTACCGTCCCCCATGTGTGCCCCGTTCCCAGTGCGCTGGAGGACGTCGGCCGCCTGCTGTCCCAGCTGAGCAGTGCCCATCAGCCGCAGCTGCTGCAGCTCATCGACTTTGGCCGCGCCATCGACATAACCCTTCTGCCGCCCGGTGAGACTGCGGCGGCCGGAAACTATGCTCCGCATTAGTTATCATATAACCTAGACTGCAGTCCGGGCGCCCTAAAACCCAGAGCATCATGTCAGCTACTGACGGACCTAGTGCATGTTCTTACGATATGCCAGCTGATCGTCATTCATACTGTCACGTTTATGTCGCGATGACCTCTGTAGTCTGGGCGCCCAAAAACACCAATTCATCATCATTATGCCGCTCGAGTCTTTGAGGAGCTGTATCCATTCCCACCTGCTCCTTGTGTCCACGGCTGTGCACATCGTATCCCGGTTGTAGCGCCGCCGCTGCTTCACACTTCCACCAACCCTCTTCTGCTTGTCCTGGACTTGCAGGCACTACGTTCACGCGCGTGGTGACCACGGACGACTTCACGTGCCCGGAGATGAAGGAGGGCCGCGAGTGGACCTTTCAGACGGACCTGTTTGGCGTGGCCGCGTCGGCGCACGTTCTGCTGTTCGGCAGCTACCTGAAGCTGCGGCGCCGGCCGGCTCCGGATGGGCCGTGGTCTGTCAGCGGCACCATAAGACGGTGAGCGCCCCCGTGGGTAGAGTGGAACGTGTGGAGGGAGTGGATGAGTGAAAGCGGACGGTATGAGCCATACGGGTGGTTGTATGAAAAACCACATGAAAAACCAGTGTGGTTATCTGGATGAGCTTTACAAATAGTCTGATTCTGAATGGTGTTGGCGAGATTGGGGAAGCACGGGGAGTGGTGGCTTGAAGGTCGTGCGCCAGGCTAGGTGTATGTGGACTTTTACATCGCATTGATCCACTGGTCATTCAGTCGACATTGGCAGTACCCCTCGATCTGTTCCGAGTACCCGCTGGGTCACCGGCCTCTACCTGGCCCTCCCGCTGACATTTCGTTAATCGCTGTCGGCAGGTTCTGGTCGCCGGTGTGGGGCGAGTTCTTCTCTACCTTCCTCAACATCCCGTCGTGCTCTGAGCTGCCGGATCTATCCGCGTGGCGGCGGCGCTTCCTGGACCTGGCGCTCTCCAAGCAGCTGGACAAAGCGCTGCACAGTCTCATGGTGGCCATCAAACAGCCCTGAGCTGCTCGTCGAGCCGTGAGTGGTACCGCAGAGGGCGACGGCGGTTCTGTGTTTGTGCCTTTGCTGTAGAGCCTTGGAGTGCTGGACTCGGTGTGTGAGTGAGGGGTGAACCTGCTGGTACACGCAAGCTTCCCTGGCGCGTCTGGGGAGTGACAGAGCTGAATGGAGGTGGGATTGGGGTGTGCGACAGCGTGACCACTGTCGAAGTGTTCACCGTGTGAGAGTGAGTGGCTGGTTACGAGTGGCGTGGTCCCGCCTGTCGTCTGTGCACCAGCCCCTGTTTAACATTTGACTCGTGAGTGTGTGGAACTGGCTCCCTCCCACGCCGGTCGACCCCGTGGGTCTCCGGTGAGCGGCCCTTTTCATGCCGCGTCTTCCTGGCGCTATGTAGTGCGCCGGTCTGTCGTTTTCCCGAGGGGAGAGACTTCTCTCGCTGAAGCGCGCATACGATCGAACGACCGTCGTCCCGGTCCCGGCGAATGGACGGTACTTGCAGCCGTGTGTGGCGCCTGTGTATATAGTGGTGTGCGCAGAAAGCTTCGGCGTACCTAAATGTATACCACATTTGATCGGTCATTGAGTTCAGAAATTGATTTTATCTTGTCGGCTTGTCTTTGACTCATTAGGATAGTCTTATAGATAAGTTTTCCAAATTTGCTAACATTTCTCGCTCTTTGGCGCGCGCTTCTTTTAACCATTCATGTGTGGTGATCTCTGGTCGTGTGTTTCGTTGTGCTGCTCAACAGTCCAACATTGTGTGTCGGTCACCTCGTGCGTCTCGCCGCGACCCGTGCCTAGACCGTCTCCCCAGCGCTGCCGAACGGCAGTGCGGCGGGCGGGACGGTCACTGCTGTCACTGCCACAAGTGCCGACTGAAACCTCGTCTGATACATACTGTCAACGGAAGAGATTATAACGAGATTGCCGGGGACCAACAATAAACGATGCGCTAAATTCGATTTCATGGTTTAATAGGGAGTGAGGTGCTGACAATGGAACGGACGGGTTCTAGGGCGAAACAGCACAGAGTGACGGGGTCCAGCTCTTTGACATTACTTCTCAAGCACATAAATACGCAAACTCATTACCTACCATTTATTTTAGAGAGCAGTTTACGTTTGTCACTTCTTCTGGAGACTCGAAGTGCACTAAGTGCAAGGCTATATACGTGTCGAACTATTGAAAATCGCATATTTGCTACATATCGGTATCCGTAAATGCAAACAGTCGGTTTACAAAAATAGCATATGTGAAGAAACCAATCCAGATATTTTGTCACGAATATCAGGCAATGATCTTTAATTCCACAAATAGTGACGCCTCTTGCAAGTTGCATATCATTTCAAGTATCCGTGACCGTGCTCTGCTGCAAGCTCCACCGTCTGTTCACAGTTTGATGATTCTCCTCCGAATCACCTTACGCACTTTGCGCTTGCGGTATTTTCCTGAAAGCAAGTAATGCTTTGTCAGTTGATGTAAATCACACTGTGAAAATTATTAACGATGTAACTAGGAGAAGAAAGATTGCGACTTGCGAGTAGAATTAAAAGTCAGCGCGGTCCGTGACTATGTAGGTAATAAAAGCGCACTACTGACCACGCCTATAGCTACCTTTCTCTAAATAGGTTGAAAAATAGAATAGTTATATTAAAGGGACCCTCCCACCTTAACATTAGATTTGAGTTGAGATAGCCAAAATGGGGTCCCTGGCTCACAATTACCGGTTTCGGCACTCACAACATCGAGAAATGCCTTAAATCGGAAATATTGAATTTCAAAATTGCAGCATTTTGATTCAGAGGGGCTAATGCTTAGGAATACCCCTCTGAATGTGTGACGTCAGCGCAAATATCTAACGATTTTTAAATGTTTGACTAAAACGTTTTGTAGCACGCGGTGGTATATGCTATTTGCGCGCAACATCTGCCGCAAACGCCGCACTTTTAAAATAAAGTCGCTAGAAACAGCGGAGATCCCAAAAAAGTAAACAAAAGTAAAAGTCTAATATCTTGAAAACCGGTGAATATTTTTCGGTGAAATTTGGTAGATATACGTTTTCGCTCTTTCTGAACCGAGCGACATCACTTTCATGCCAATTCATAAACTTTTTTGAAGGTGGGAGGGTCCCTTTAACTGAGATTTCCTTATGTGAATTTTTTGTCATTGACGTTGCCTGTCATTTCCCATACGAAAGATTGGGAGATTCGCCGGAACCGTTCCAGGACACACGTCACTAATCATGACATTGCACATCATTCACTCACAGCACACGTCCGACCTGACCTCATCCATCAGCCCTCACCGGATGGGACGCCGCTGGGGTCAGTCAGAGCGACGAGCTTCAGCAGCGCGCCGTCCGACATCGGCTCCGTCAGAGGCGTCCCCAGGTCCTGGGGTGACTTCAGTGGCCTCGACTCCACGCTCCTCGGTGTCTCCAGCGGCCCAGCCTCCAGGCGTTGGAGCGGTCTAAGCGGAAGAGCCCTTGGATCCTCTAGTGGCTCCAGCGGCTCATCCTCCAGGCCCCGGAGTCGTTCGGGTGAGATCTCCAATTGGTCAGGGAGCTGCTCTGCCAGCTGATTTTCCCCCAGGTCCTGAAACGGCTTCACGTGCCTCTCTTCCAGAACTTGGAGTGACCCGATGGGACCCGTCTCTAGGCCCCGAAGAGGCTCTAGCGGTCCCTTCCGTCGGTCCTGGAACGACTCTGCATCGCTGGCGGATTTCTCGGCTACAGAGGGTTTCAATTCGTCCCGTCCCTCTGTTACCTGAGAAACGGATGGCTGGTTATCGGGTGTCTGGAGCTCAGGAAGTGGTACTGATGAGGTGACGGTCGTCTCAGGGGAGTTCTCAGTAGCTTCTGCTAGACCTGAAGCATCCACAGTGTTCTCAAAACCAGCGTTGTGCTCTTTTAGACCTCCATAGCCAACAGTGTTCTTAGAGAGGTCTGGCAAATCATTGAAGCTTTCAACGAGCGCTTCTGCCTCCACGCTGTTTTCGATTATGTCAAGATCAGAAGGATTATCGATTGAACTTCTGGCATTCACCCTGTCCTTTTCATCCAAGATGCTGATGCCCGATTCCTTATCGTGAACATTGAGCTTATTTTCGCGCATTGCTTGCAGCATTTTGAAGTCCTGCTCGATGTTACGCTTCTCCTCTGGAGGCTGCTGATGTTTGACCATCTTAATTCCCTGCCGATGGAAAGATAGCATGGATTTAAACGACGAACTTTTATCTTTTTCCCATCTATCAATATAGTCCGTGCAGCCGGCGCTCCCTAAAGCCCCAATGTGAATGAACAAACGAAACAAACAAACATCGATCGATAAATTTCATAGAATCTTATAAATACGGTGCTTCGTAATTCATATTGGGCATTTGCTTGCACTCGATATTCGCTAACGGTTTGGGTTTGCAGCTTCGCACTTACGAGCGGCTGGTATCCATTCTCGTCGGCGTGCCAGTAGAGGACGATGTGGACGCCGGCCGGGTCGTGCCAGCTGACCCTGCCCTCAGTGGAGATGACACCCGTCAGAGGCAGCGGCCCCGAGAACACCTGGCCCACCTCCTCGTGTTTGATCCCGTTGGTCGTCTCGAATCTGCGGGCGGAGGTGCCGGGCGGTATGCGGCGGCTGCCTGGGAGGTAGACTGTGCCGCAACGTCTGGCGGTACGGCGGAACAGTGGGAAATGCGGGAGACTGCAACGCTGGGCAGTGAGGATTGAGGAATCTCGGGCAGCGGCGGCGGTAGGGGAATTCCGTGCTGATATCGGCAGTATCACCAAAACGGATTTATTTTGGGTCATAACCACGTCTCGCATGCCACTATTAACACCATTTAGACGTTTGCGGATCGTAAGTAGGGTAGACCGGGGCAAGTCGCCCCGCCGAGGTAAAACGCCTCACCGATGTTTCTCGGAACTGGCAAGGATCTGGGGAAATATTCTCTCTTCTATAAAACGTGCACTATATGATCATCATATGACCAGACTGGAAAGAAATTGTGATGACTCCTTAGGGAGATATAGCCAAAAATGTGTTTTTGGAGTGATTTTTATGTTTTGTTGTCAGGTTATGCATCATGGCGTTCTTTTATGGTCAACATCAGGTTAACGACTTTTATGTATTTTGAACAACTATTATCTAACGCTTATAATGCCGGGTTGGTTCGTGTTAAATTGTGTCTTGCTGGAGTGCAAGGCCTTGTTTTCTGACCGAACTACGTGATGGGGTAAAACGCCCCAGTAGGTCGCGGGGCAAAAAGCCCCATGGGGCGTTTTGCCTCATGTGTTGTTCGTACTACCCACTTCCTAATGTTCGGTAGCTGGCAAACAGTAAGTTTCTATGCATTTATGTGTAGTTTTCTCAGCAACCGGATGGCAAAGGAAGTATTTGGTTGACAGTTGCATGGCAATTATCTATTATTTGGCCTCATGAGGCAGGTGAAAAACCTGCTCATACAATAGTGTCATAGCTGAACACCTGATAGGATGGAAGGTGCTAACTTCAGTGCCGTGCCTCCCAAGGTCTAACGGACCTCTCATATAAGATTTGGTCAACTAGCATGTTTAATCTTTAATCTAGAGTATGGGGCTTCTTGCCCCGGGCCGTGGGGCGTTTTGCCCTGGGGTTGGGGCAAAATGCCCCATTTGCAGTTGCTTCACAAATCACTTCATAGCTGGGTGTCCGATCATAAGTGAATGAATTTGAGGGGTGGAATTTAAAGTAAAATGTTCAAAGAACGCATTGAGCACAAATTTGGCCTTTCAGGTGATGTAGGACAAAAGTTATGTAGCAAAATAAATTATCTGGGGCGTCTTGCCCCAGGCTACCCTAAATACAATGCTGTGTTGTCAGCGCTGGTCAGCGCTATCAGTAGCGTGTTACTCTCTCGACTCTTGTCCTTTCCTCTGCTAGGATACGATTTACACAGATGGATTTTGTTTTCTACCCATCAAATGCGCACAAAAAGAAGCGTAGAAGAAAGCTCTGCTCTACACCTGGTGCCGTAAGTTACCTAATGAATAAAAAATACACACGCCCAATGGTACGTTTCCCACAAGTTTGGGCGGTCACCAACTACCAAGAAGTCGCCCGTAGCTGCAAATGGCGACATGAGTGTACGTACAAATATTTTCATGGTAAGTGGTCTTTTCCTTTAAACTCCCATTGCATTTTCAATGCTGCATGTTATCTGAATGTCGAACGGCCTTAGCGCGACTGCCTGATTAACTTTCAAGGTTCAATGTTGCAATGTTACGACCTATGGAGGCATGCCGAACAATTCATCGACTTACTTCAGTAGCCAAACGACACATGGGTTGCTGCGGTGCGCTACTGTCGCATGCCTGAGGTGTTTCGTGCTCCGAGCTTATTGAGCTTGGCTAGAACTTTAACGTCTTTAACTCCAGGATATGCATACCGACGTGGGAACCGGACAAGGTCTTGACAGCTGAGTCTGACCACCGATGGATATATCTGGTTTAAACCGTAACGTCTTCAATTGCGTATTTCAGACAGGCTTAATTAGGTATGTGCTCAATTAGAGTTGTTCAATGAACGTTAACGCTAATGCTATTTGGGACCGACATTACATTCCTTTTCTCTGCGGAGTGTTCGCTCCTTGCATCAACACATAGGTAAGCCATACGATATAATGCGACTGTCGCGCTGAAAAAAAAATGCTCCTCCGACCCGACTCACTGGAAGTGGTAGCCATCCTGGTAGTTATCGCTCTGGTAGTTGATAATCCGCGCATCCCTGTCCGGCCTGGGCCCGTCTGCGGTAGCCAGGTCCGCGTCCAGCCCCGCTCCAGCCCCGCTCTCCTCTCTGGTCCGCGTCCAGCCCCGCTCCGGGCGTCCGACGGCGCTGGGGTGGTGCTCGCGTCGGGTAGCACAATCACCGTGTCCTTGGCAGAGGGGTTGATGGCGCCGGCGGAGCTGACTGCCGGTCGACGAATCACGGACGGAGAGCACAGAGGCAGCAGCGTCACCGCCAGCACCAGCAGGAGCAGCTGGAGGGTGGGGAATCATTAGACGGATGTTGAACTGGGCTGTTGAACGATGCAACGGGAATACAGCGGCTGGATTATCATCAGTAGGGCGGGTAGATGGCAAGACAGCAGCGGTTAGCGGTTCAAAGTGTTAGTTGGTAAGAGTTTGACGGTCAGATGTTTTATCTGTTACGCGTTTATATATGGGCTACTGAAGACAGTGTGTAGCTGTTGAAGTTTAAAGGTGATACCTATTTTTATTATGTGTCGGACGGTTAGACGCAGCTGTGAGTTACACGGTCATATAGATATGTGTGGGTCGGCTCAGCAATTAGAGGCAGAATCCATGTGTGAGAGGGGAAGAGAGGCGTTACATAGTTTGTTGTCCGACGGTCTGAGCCTGTCAACGATAACCGATCAGAGACAACAGTGTCACACGGTTAGAGGGTTAGAGAGATATACTAGCGTTAGACGGTCAGACGGTCAGTGATATTATAGCGTTAGACGGTTAAACGGTAAGAGAGATAATAGCGTTAGACGCTGACGGTAAGTCTGATAGACAGATTTTAGCGTCAGACGGTTAGACGGTTAGAGATAAGTTACTCTGACGGTTAAACAGTAAGGAAGAATTATAATAGCGTCATACGGTTAGACGGTCAGAGATTACAGCGTCAGACGATTAGACGGTCAGATATAATAGCGTCACACGCTTAGACGGTTGGAGAGGTTAAAGGGTCAGCTGGTTAGACGGTCAGAGAGATAATGGTGCCTGACGGTTAGACGGTTAGATATTCCAGCGTCAGACAGAGGGTCAGAGAGATAAAAATGTCACACTGTTAGACGGTCAGAAATTAAACAGCATTAACGGTTAGCCGTTAGGTGCCAGAACTACAACAGCGTTAGACGGTTAGACGGTCAGAATAGTGTCAGACGGTTAGGGATGCAATAGCGTCAGACGGTTGGATGGGCGGAAAGGTAGCGCTGAGAGCGGCTGACGGACAATTTATAAAGAATTGAACATTGATCCACTGTTGAACGTTTAACAATCAAATTTCATGAAATAGTCCTTCCGTCCCAATCACTCACCTGTGCGGAGCAGATCGTCATTTTGCGGATGAATTGAGAACTGTAGCTCTTCATCGCGTTATCGTCGTCTCAGAGTCGGTGCGGCCGCTTTTATGGAGTCGCCGCCCCCGAACCGAGCGGCAGAGGTCCTCAAACTCCAGCTCATGGTCACATGAGCTCTCGGAATATTATTGGCTCGGATGTCAGTTGTGCACTGCTAATCGGGATCATCGTAGACGGCTCACGGTCAAGACATCCACGCGGTATACGTATAATCCAGCTTTCAGTGCAAACGCCGATCGACCCGTTATCAGTATCTGACTCGTTTGAACTTTGACTACAAGGGCGTGGCTCGGCTGCCCATCTATTTACTCTGCCCAGATTCGGGAGTTCTTGGAGCACGACTGACGACAAAGCATTCGTGAATCGTGGTAAATATATAATAGATTGTGGTCGGTGACTAATTGACTAATGTAGGTATTGCATTTCATCGCCAGTCGGTTGAGCTCCAGGGTCAAGATGTTAGGCCAAGGGCTCCCGGATGTTCACAATAATCACTCTCGATCAGATTGAGCTACTTACTAGGTATAGCGAATCGCAAAGAGAAGCAATGAGCCTATACAAACATACGAGATCGTTTATCATGCAATATGACCACATTTGACCAATTTTGTGACCTGAACTGCCTTGACCTAACCATGACCTTAGGTCAACACCTTTTAGTTAGTCATCCTTCGCAAATACAAAATATATAATTGGAAATGCATGCAAATAACCTGGCGCTGTTGACCTGTTGTGACCGTCTTCCTTCCCCATATTTGTCAGCTGAGAATATCAATATACAAGTTGTGGCACGACATCGCTGACCGGAGGACTGATCACTCATTGCGTCTCAGTAGCTGGCCATTACGGGTGATTGGGACTTCGTTCCTGTAATACCGGCTTGGCTGCCTGGCCGGTATGAGGATTGAGGATCTCGGAATGTTGTCTATTAGAGGATAATAGCAGATGATTCAGGTCCAAGTACGCTAATGTTGGACTACATAGTGTTAGTCGGATCAACATCTCGTAGTATTATCCGCATTGCTCGTAATATGCTCCCAGCTTTCCATGGCCCTGGTGTGTTCAAGGTCCCGGGAAGCATGATCAGGTACGTAATAATTAGGGTAGAATGAGGATCAGAGTCTATCTGTGCCAGCACATCCGACAAATGGCCGTAACCTTGCACTTGATGATTTCTCTCCAGTCATCTGGATACCCCCAATGCGACAGTCACTGCTTGAATGGAGGATCACGCATTTCTAATGACATTCGTGCTGTGGGATTGACAATATCGGCAATAAATACCACACAAAGTGCAGTTATATAGCCGGCATGAATCATGATGAAATGCGTTCCGATTTGTGAACCACTTACGTGATTTTATACTTAGGATTACCAACTCTGTGACTCATTGCAACTCTCCCAAACAGTATAATCAAAGAATCCTTAGTGAAAATGATGTGTAATTTATTGACGCATATCCACAGGCCGAAGGTGTGACAATGATTCTGTGGCGGCGGTCTCACCCGCTCTGCCGTGGTCGGTCACAGTTCCCAGTTGCCCCAAAGACGGTCCACAGTTGAACGAGCGGCCGGACAGTCTACAGCGCGTCCGAGCCGGAACGGCAACACTCAGAGGTCGACAGTCAACACACAGGCACCCACAGAGCGCTCACACACGGCACATCGGTGGCCCGCGGACCGACCCCAGCGCCGTCCCGAATCCACCGATGAAACCACCGATGTTAGCATCCACTGCCTCCTCAAGTCAAACGTTCACGCCGCACTCGGTACACCAAACACCAAAACGCGTCAGACGATCGTCAATCTGGTAACCGCAAG